ACCATGGTGAAACCCTTTCTCTACAAAATATACACAAATTAGCTGGGTGGGGTGGTGCACGCCTGTAGTCCCAGCTGCTTGGTGGGGTGCTGAGGCAGAAGGATTGCTTGAACCTGGGAGGTCAAGGCTGCAGTGAGTCGAGACTGGACCACTGCACTCCAGCATGGAACACAAAGTGAGACCCTGTTTCAAAAAAAAAAAATTTTTTTTTTTAACAGACTAAGAACATACACTTTAACTGGAGGAGGATGTTAGGAGTCAAAACAATTGCTTAATCACTTATGTCCTCAGCACTGAAGGTCATTGTTTTGGTCTGGAGGTGTGTAAAATGTACACTTTGCTCTCTAATTGTTTATAGTCTACTTGGGAAGATAAACCTAACAAGAAATATGTAATAACAATAACGGCTAACATTGTTGAGTACTATGCACCAGCCATGGTACTGAGTATATAAATTATTTTACTTAAAACTCACAACAATCAGAGTAGGAAGATTTCATAATTTTTCCCTCTTTTATAGTTGAGGAAACTGAGGCTTAGATATGTGCAAATAAGTGGCAAGTTTCGGATTCAAAATCAGCTAAATTTTATTTAAAGCCTAAAATACTTAACCACCTATCTTTTATCTACTAAGCTTGTTAGTTCAAAGATTACCTGAAGGTAAATTTTATCAATACAGCTTTGGATTTTGGGGAAAAAAAAAATGAAGGTAAATTTTAACTTGAATAGATCTAGACTGTTTATAATGGAATTTGTTGCCTAGCATCAATTGTGACCATACTGAGGTCACAAAGGATAAGAAATTACCCTTAAGAGATGAAAATTCTTTGGAATAGAATGCAGTAGCCCACACAAACAGGAATGTGCATAAATAGCTTAAATTAGCCTGTGTTTGCATAAGGACATTAACTGGAAAGGAAACTTGGTTTAAGAAGTTCACTTTAAAAATTGTGCAAGAAGCATCACTGGTCCATAAAGAGAGAAGGGTGGAGTGGGTTACGTCATTTCAGCACCTTTTAAGGTAAAGGAGGAGGGAATCCTCTTGAACTCATTAGCCAATTAGGTTCTGAAGACGCTTCTTAAGGCCACTTCCTGTCTCTCCACTTTCTTTCCCTCTCCGTTTTGGTGGGCTGGTGAGTGTGCACTTAGTTTTGCGCTCTTTAACTGTTTTGAATTTCTCTTCATTTATGCCATATACCCAACTGGCAGGCCTTTATTTCAAGCCGGCATTGGAGTGTGTGTGAGTCGCAAGGCGATTAATTTAGGCTCTGTGGAGGTTGGAAGAAGACAGTGAAATGCTCTGCCTGGCTTGTTTCCACGTGGGCCTCTGCAGTACTGGGGTTTGCCTTCTTTCTCTGAGTCCCGGTGACCCAGGAACAATAGACTCTGCTTCATGTGCACAGTGCGTGTGTTCTTGGAAACGCCCAGCTTTATTTCGCTGGGAGGGAGAAATACTGTTATCATCCCAATGCTGTTTTGATTTGTATCTCCTTGGGTGAGGTCAGATCTTGGGAGAAGGCGTTCAGCTCAGTAGATTTTAATTCTCCGGAGAGTGTCTAGGAGGGACCGGGACCTTACTGGGTTTATGAAAGCTGCAGCGGATCTTGTCTTTTTCCTGGCCTTAGCTCAGATCTTTTCGGCTTTCTTGGTGAACCTGGGCAGCAAACTCTGAAGACAGATAAGCCCTAAGAGGAGCTCGTAATTTTTAATGTTGCCACAGTGGTGAATGTGGCCTAAAAAGCTATGGAAAAAGATCCGGGGACCTTAGTTTCGGGCAAGCCTGTAGATTCAAATTCCAGCGCCACAGTTTACAGCTCTGGTGACCTTGGGAGTGGCAGTGAGCCATTCCCAGGCTTAGCTTTCCAAGATCAGATAAATATATAAAAACTAGGCCCTACGTGGTATGTAATAAATGTTAGGTACCTTTAGAAGTAAGCAGTACTTATTTATCATAGTATTTTGGATATCTGTTTTCTCATAAAAAGTTTTGTCTAGCGACCTCGAATGTAATTTCACTGCATTTCTTTTGATACATGTTAGTTTTTATATGATATATGTGTTGGGTATCCTTATAGGTAGAAAGCATGAGAAAGACAAATAAACCAGTTAATTGAATGTAGTAATAGGCATTTGCAGGCCTCCCATAATTTTTATAATTCTCAAGCAGTTATAATTGATTTTTTGAATAGGTAATATATTCACATGGTTCAGAATTCCAAGGAAATCAGTTTCTTATCCCCTTCCCTAAGCCATCCAATTCCTCTCTTGCATAACAGTGTTACTAAGATATTTTATGCATGTAAGCAAATATGTGTGAGTATCCTTCCCTTTTTCTATATCTACTCTACTATATGTCTTACTTTTTCCACTTAATAAGTAAGTGTCCACATTCTTTATAATGGTAACAGTATTCTCTAAAAATTTTTTTTCAAAAAATATTTTTTATTTCAAAAGGTTTTTGGGGTATAATGGTAACATAGTATTCTACTTTATGTACATGGCATAATTTATTTAGCTTTTATCAGTAGATATTTAGATAATTTATGATCTTGATATTTCTCCCTAAATGAATGGCTTTGCAAATAAGTCAGTTGGCATATAGGCATTTCAACTGGGTTTTAGCATATTCTTGTTTAAAAGGAATCTAGATATTTTGCAGAGCTTCCTATTTATATTTATTTAAGTACACATAGTGGTGATTAGAAACTAATCAATACTTTAAATGTCTTGATTGAACAGTAAAGGATTTTCTACCAAAAGCAGGATCATCTTGATGGGGTTTTTTTTTTTTTTGAGACGGAGTTTCGCTCTTGTTACCCAGGCTGGAGTGCAATGGCACGATCTCGGCTCACCGCAACCTCCGCCTCATGGGTTCAGGCAATTCTCCTGCCTCAGCCTCCTGAGTAGCTGGGATTACAGGCACGTGCCACCACGCCCAGCTAATTTTTTGTATTTTTAGTAGAGACGGGGTTTCACTTTGTTGACCAGGATGGTCTCGATCTGTTGACCTCGTGATCCACCTGCCTCAGCCTCCCAAAGTGCTGGGATTACAGGCTTGAGCCACCACGCCCGGCCCATCTTGATGGCTTTTATGTGGGTATATATTTATCCACTTTGGTTTGACTAGGGGATGGTTTATCTTGTTATGAGCACAAGTTTTTTTTAAAATCTTTTTTAATTGTATTTTTTTGAGCATATGTTTAATGTTGGGAAGGAGTGACAGCAGTGGCCGAGAACAGCCAAGTCATCTGTATTCAAAGAGACAGAAGGGGCATACTTTCAATGTTTTCTTAGAAAATGTGTGCTGGATATGCCCCTCAACTTACGGTGTTGAGGGAGTAGACCCATTTTAGTATTAAGTTAGGAAAAGCTGAAATATGTTTTAGGATATAGACATGCAAAATAAAAAATGAGACTTTGGGAATTTCTCCAAAGCTGTTTCAGTCTTTAGTTCTGGTTTTTTAGGTGGTAATTTTGTGAGTTGGGAAAAAATTAGGTTCTTTCCAATGGAAGCTTCCTTTTGTTAAGAAATAACTTTATGGCGAGGCACGCCTGTTAATCCTAGCACTTTGAGAGGCCGAGGTGGGCGAATCATGAGGTCAGGAGTTTGAGACCAACCTGGCTAACATGGTGAAACCCTGTCTCCACTAAAAAGACAAAAAATTAGTTGGGCGTGGTGTTGAACGCCTGTAATCCCAGCTCCTGGGGGTGCTGAGGTGGGAGGAGGAGGTTGTGGTGAGCCGAGATCGTGCCATTGCACTCCAGCCTGGGCAATGGGAGCAAAATTCTGTCTCAAAAAAAAAAAAGAGACACAACATCTTGGAGTTGGAAGGGCCCTTATGAGTACTATATGAGTGGCCTTTCTGGCTTCTGGGCTATTGTCAGAAGAATGAATTTTTGTTTTTGTTAAATTTGTATTTATTGTAGATTCATGGGGTACAGGTGCAGGTTTGTTACAGGGTATATTGCACGATGCTGAGTTTTGGGCTTCAATTGATCCTGCCATCTAGGTAGTAAACATTGTACCCAAAAGAAGTTTTTCAGCTCTTGCTTCTCTCCCTCCTTCCCTCCTTTTGGAGTACCTAGTGTTTATTGTTCCCAACTTTATGTCCCTGTGAACCCAAGATTTAGCTCCCTACCCAAGATTTAGCTCCCACTTATAAGTGAGAATATGCGATACTTGGTTTTCTGTTTCTACACAAATTGGCTTAGGATAATGGCCTCCAGCAGCTTCAGTTGCTACAAAAGACATGGTTTTTTTTTTTAATGACTGTGGAAAAGTGTGAAATTTTTAGGCAGAATACTTGCCTTTCTACTCACTAACTGGTTGAGCTTGGGCAAGTAATAGAAATAACATATTAAACATTTAACTCCATGCCAGCTACAGTGTAAAGTATATCTATTACCTCATTTAATCTTCTCAGAAGTTTTAAGGGGTAAGAAGTATTTGTTCTCATTTTACAGAGTTGACAACTGAGGTTTAGAGAAGTTGCATGACTTGCCCATGGGCACAGCAAATACACAAGAGAGCCAGGATTAAAATCTAGTTTTGTATTATTTCAAAATTTATTTTAGGGAATATTAATTAGTGTAGCTATTATGGAAAACAATATGGAGATTTCTCAAAAAATTAAAACTAAAACTACCATATAATCCAGAAATCCCAATTTCTGGGTGTATTCAAAGGAAATAAAATTAGCGTGTCAGAGATACCTACACTCGCATGTTCATTGCAGCATTATTCACAAAAGCCAAGATAAGGAATTGACCTAAAGGTTCATCAACAGATGAATGGATAAAGAAAATATGATACCTTTGTGTAGTAGAATACTATTCTGCCTTAAAAAGGAAGGAAATTCTGATAGTGGGAAATAAAACTTGTAGTCTGTTCTGATAGCAGTGCCTTATATAACTATCTCTAAAAAAAAAACTATGCCAAGCTTCAGTTTAATATTTACTTCCCATGAACAAAATTTTATATTGTTTTCATTTTGTTTTAGGTTGAAGATGAAATCCACTGAGGATGAAAGGCCTGGGTCTTCAGCACCCTGTGTGCCAGTCCAGAACTTGTCCATCTACAGACCCCCTGAAAATCAATTGGGCTTGGATTTGGACATTCTCAATAGAAAGGGTTAAATGCTGATGGGACCTAAAGCCTGGTACTTGAATTTTGTTCAAGATAAACTGTCTTAAGTTCTCTTCACTACACCTATGTGTGTCTTTTCTGTCTAAAAAGCTTAGCCTAGAGATTCTTTGAGTTACGATTGTATCCTGTAATGCTAGGTGGCACTGTGTAAATTGGAATAGAGTCAAATGCAGTGGTAATGAAATCTTAACACAGTATCTGCTGATTTAGTATCAATTTGTAGTTTGTATTAGGCCTTCATGAAGCATCTGTTCACACATATAAAATGTACTTTTTGGCTATGAACACCAGTACTTTGAAGTGATTACTGCCTGCAGTCAACAAAATGCTGGGATCATTGTTTATGGAGCATTTACAAAATACTTAGTAAATATGAAATGTCCTTTGTATGGTGGAATGAACTTGTCGAAGCATGCATGACTAGAATCCTGCAGGGAGCATTACACATTGGGAAAGTTATCACATATTTCGCATCAGAATTTATGTGCTAGGCTTTGTGTTGTGTGTCAAAGACAAAAAGACCAGGCCTCTTTCGTTCCTGGGTTTTGTCTGTGAGTTGATTAATAGAGAAGTTGTTGCTTTCAATCTATAATTATCCTGTAGGAAGTTTTTTTTTTTTTAATACCCAAAGAGTCACTTCATACGGGAGGTTTTTTTTGTTAATTTCCCTTTAAAAAAATTTATTTTAGGTTTGGAGAGATCAAGGAGTTTTAAGGTTGACATTGTTAAAACTGTTAGAAACCTTTCCCACCATGTCTTGCTTCTTGTCTTCATTCTCTTGGTTAATCTTGCATCCTGCTGATCTGAAAACATTTTACATAGTGAAAGCAGTGTTGAAATATAGGACAAGGATGGAGTAAAATAACATTTTGATCATATCCATCTGAGATATTTAAAAAACTTCAGTTTCTTTCCAACCTACTGAGCTAGTATGTCATTGCATTACATTTAAAGCAAACTATCTTCTTTAGCTCTGTTTATTTCCAGTAGGAAGTACCATGATGAAGTAAAAAGACTATGGAATTTTGATGTTACTGAATTTAAATCCTAGCTCTTACTAGTTAGGTGACCTTAAGGAAATTTATTTAATTTTTTCGAGGCTCCATTTTCGTTGTAAACAGGGGGTTTTAAAATTGGAACGATACAGATTTTATAGTGCTTAACAGATAGGATTTCTTTCTTTTTTTTTGAGAATAGGATTTCTTTTTTTTTTTTTTGAGAATAGGATTTCTTTCTTTTTTTTTTTTTGAGACAGAGTCTCGCTCTGTCACCAGGCTGGAGTGCAATGGTGCAGTCTCGGCTCGCTGCAACCCCTGCTTCCCAGGTTTAAGTGATTCTTCTGCCTCAGCCTCCCGAGTAGCGGCATCTACAGGCTGCACCACCATGCCCAGCTAATTTCTGTGTTTTTAGTAGAGATGAGCTTTCACAATGTTGGCTAGGATGGTCTTGATCTCTTGACCTCATGGTCCACCCATCTGGGCCTCCCAAAGTGCTGGGATTATAGGCGTGAGCCATCACGCCCAGCTTGACAGATAGGATTTCTAAAGAATGATAGCCACTGTTTTCTTTCTATCAGCTTATTTTAGACCCATCCTTAAAGGCACTGATGTCCAATGGAACCTTCTGTTAAGGATGGAAATGTTCTATGTTTGTACTGCCAGTATAGCTATTGAGTAATGAAATGAGACAAGGGCAATGGAGAAATTTAATTTTTAACTCTAAGTGGTACTTATTGGACATGCAACTTTTAAGGTCCACTCATGACCCACTTTTTTTCTTCATGAAGCCTTCCTTGACCAATGCTACTTCTTTACTCAACCTTACTTGCTTTCTAATACTTTTTTGGTGGTATGTTAATTTCTGAGTCTTGTCTTTCTGGCTATATTGGATCTGAGGTTATGAATTTTTTTTTTTTTAAGACAGGGTTTTACCATGTTGGTCAGGCTGGTCTTGAATTCCCGAACTCAGGTGATCTGCCTGCCTTGGCCTCCAAAGTGCTTAGATTACAGGCATGAGCCACCATGCCCCGCTGAGGTTATGGATTTTTAAATCTCCATGTTGCTGCATGAAAAAGAACATAATGATAAAAGTACAATTGTAGTATTTTTGGTTAACAAGTTTTAGATGATCATTATAAGTAATACAAAAAATTTTCTAGCTAGTAATTAGGTGAAGAGTAGGGAATAGTGTGAAGGTTGGCTGCAAAGATAAAGTGTGTAAAGAGTATGTATTTGATCTGAAAGTTCAGATTACACTCAAACGCTGGAAGAGGAAATTAAAGCCTCTTTCTTACATTGCCATCTTGTGGCAGACTTGGGTTCCAAATGATACTAATTCAATTTTCCTGTATAAAGGGAAGATTTTCTTCAGATTATTTTGACAAAGATTACAAAGAGTAAAGTTTAAATACAGTCCAGCATTGGCTGAAATGAAATTGAAACATGCTTTGAAAAAAACTGACTATTTTGGATATTTCCTCATTTACCTTAATCTTACAAGTTCTTAATTCCTTCCTTTTGCATAACTGTTTTCTTTCTATTATTTATTTATTTATTTATTTATTTATTTATTTATTAAAGATGGGGTTTCACCATGATGGCCAGACTGGTCTTGAACTCCTGACCTCAGGTGATCCACCCACCTCAGCCTCCCAAAGTGCTAGGATTACAGGCGTGAGACACTGCGCCCGGCCGCATAACTGTTTTCTTACGATGAGGCTGTTGACTTTTATAGCCTTTCAGAAGTTGGTTAGGCTATTGTGCAGTTTTATCCAAACTTGTAAATTTATACAAGTTTAAGCTTGTGTAGAGGTCCTACTCTTTTTTTTTTGTTTGTTAATTTTTGTTTTGAGACAGGGTATTACTCTGTTACCTAGGCTGGAGTACAGTATCATGATCACAGCTCACTGTAACCTTGAACTCCTGATCCTGCCCTATTTGATATTGAGCTTGGGCATTTGATGACTTTCTCTAAATAGATGAACCAATAATTTATATTATTGAATGGAGAGTCAAAGTTACTCTAAATTTCTTGTGACTTGGTGTGTAGAACATGCTGGTGTGAGTTGTCATATAATGATAATGTTTGTGAATTTATTTTTTTTTAAAATTTTCCAGAGATGATCTTAGGTAATTGATAGATCCCGTGGTTCAACTTGGTTTCTAGATAGAAGCTGGATTCATGTGATGCCAGATGTAAGTGTAAGAGCAAAATCTTCATTTTTTTTTAACTCATTTGAATTTCTAATCACCTAGCAAGACTTGGGACTCAGTGTTATTAGTGGATGGAATTTGATAGTTGAAAAAATCCCCAGTTCTAACCTTAAAAGGATTTTCCTATTTAGGGATGAGGAGCCAGTGCTGGTTTGCCCTTCACCAGTCATTTACAGTTTGCCATGATGAAATGCATGTTAAGTCCGTGTTTCAGCTGATCAGTCTGATTAAACACATGCTCTGAGCAGACTAAAGCTAGGGGCAAACACCTGCAATTGAATTCTGCTTGTTGAAATTTTTACTGGGATTTAGCCTGTAATCCCATGTAATCCTTTTTTTTTTTGAGGCGGAATCTTGCTCTGTTGCCCAGGCTGGAGTGCAGTGGTGTGATCTCGGCTCACTGCAACCTTTACCTGCTGGGTTCAAGCGATTCTTCTGCCTCAACCTCCTGAGTAGCTGGGACTACAGGCATTTGCCACCGTGCCTGGCTAATTTTTGTATTTTTAGTAGACATGGGGCTTCATCATAGTGGCCAGGTTGGTCTCAAACTCCTGACCTGGTGATCCACCTGCCTTGGCTTCCCAAAGTTCTGGGATTACAGCCATGAGCCACCATGCTCAGCCAATCCCAGGTAATTCTTAAATCTTAATAAATTACCAATTTGAGACTAATATTTTGTTGTGCTTTGATTGTTTGTGATATCTCCATATCCCCATAAAATTACTTTTGTGAGTTAGAACTAGAGTCAGGAATCCTTAATCTAAAAGTTCAAACACTACAGAAAAGGCACTGGTAACTGGTATCATTCTATAAGCAATTTAGCCTGGCAGTTTTCAACTAATCACTATTCTTTCAATCTATATAGATAGATTAAGAGAAACACAGAGTTGGTTCAATCAATTTTGTGAAGACTATACAATGCAATACTATACAGTCACTTAAAAGTTATGATACAGGTTTATGTTTATTGAAATGGAATGGTATTCATGACACATGAAAAACAGGTTATAGAGCAATGTTTCTGCTTAAAATTTTTTTTTTTTGAGACGGAGTTTCGCTCTTGTTACCCAGGCTGGAGTGCAATGGTGCAATCTCGGCTCACCGCAACCTCCGTCTCCTGGGTTCAGGCAATTCTCCTGCCTCAGCCTCTTGAGTAGCTGGGATTACAGGCATGCGCCACCATGCCCAGCTAATTTTTTGTATTTTTAGTAGAGACAGGGTTTTACCATATTGACTAGGATGGTCTCGATCTCTTGACCTCGTGATCCACCCGCCTCAGCCTCCCAAAGGGCTGGGATTACAGGCTTGACCCACCGCACCCGGCCACTTAAATATTTTTATATGCATATGTTTGCTTAAGAAAGCTAAAAGGATATATATGCTAAAATACTAGGGGTTATTTTCTCTATATTTGGATTCTACAAGTAATCTTGTAATAAACTTCTATTTTCTCATTTTATTGTATTCATGTGTTGTAATATATTAAAAGTAATTTAAGTAATTTAGGGCAAGCTTATATTCTTTACCTGTGCCTGCATTTTCAGCAGAGAATTAGTTAGATATTAGGGTGTAATACAGGGAATACAAACAACTCAAAGTTATAGCAGAAGAACTCGAATTAATTTTTTAGTTTTTTTTTGTCTTTTACAGAAGTAAAAGTTCAAGAGACCAAAACCAGATCTGAGTCTCCCTGTTCCATTCTGGACCTCTTTGGTGCTGTAAATCCTGGATATACAGTAGACGATTACTGTGTTTTATGGTAAGGCTTAGGTTGCGATTGAGAAGCTTTGACATACATGAGTCTGAAAATTCAGGTTTATGATTTCACAGCTAGCTGCTAAGGGGCTATAAATTTCATTTTTTTTAAAGTCAGTTGATCCGAGGCATGGTGGCTCATGCCTGTAATCCTAGCACTTTGAGAGGCTGAGGCAGACAGATATCTGAGCTCAGGAGTTCGAGATCAGACTGGCCAACATGGTAAAACCCCATCTCTCCTAAAAAACAAATACAAAAAGCCGGGCATGGCGTGGCATGCAACTTTTAGTCCCAGCTACTTGGGAGGCTGGGGCAGGAGAATCTCCTGAACTCAGGAGACGGAAGTTGCAGTGAGCAGAGATAGCACACTGCACTCCAGCCTGGGTGACAGAGCAAGATTCTGTGTCCAAAAAAAAAAAAAAAGTAAATTAAAGATGTTGAGAAGTAGCATTGTATAGTGGTTATATATGGGTTCAAACCCATGCTCTGTCACTTTACCAGTTATGCAACTTTGTCAAGTTTCTTAACATTCGTGTCTTAGTTTTATATTTTAGAAGATGGCAATAACATTTGACTCAGGATGGCTATTTTGAAGATTAAATTAGTTAAGGTGTGGGTAAAGCATATGTGGTAAATGCTCAATTGGTGTTAAATATTTTGTCATCAGAATCCATGTGTATATTTATTTTAGATACTGTACTACCTGGCAGTTTCTGACATCTGCATAATAGATTGACAAAAATTATTTGTTTTGGCCTGGTGTGGTGGGATTTTGGGAGGCTAAGGTGGGCAGATCACCTGAAGTCAGGAATTAGCCTGGCTAACATGGTGAAACCCCCATCTCTACTAAAAATACAGAAATTGGCTGGATGTGGTGGCATGCACCTGTAATCCGAGCTACTTGGGAGGCTGAGGCAGGAGAATCACTGGAAACCGGGAGGCAGAGGTTGCAGTGAGCTGAGATTGCACCACCGTACTCCAGCCTGGGTGACAGAGCTAGATTTTGTCCCCAAAAAAAGAAAAAGAAAATTCTTTGTTTTTATTGCTTATATAACTTTCTGCTAATTAGCTACCCCTCATTACCTTCACCCCTGGCCCTCAAAACTTAATTAAGTTTTAGAATTAGTCATAGGCACTATAGCGTGTATCTTTTTTTTTTTTTGAGATAGAGTTTCACTCTTGTTACCCAGGCTGGAGTGCAATGGCGCGATCTCGGCTCACCGCAACCTCCACCTCCTGGGTTCAGGCAATTCTCCTGCCTCAGCCTCCTGAGTAGCTGGGATTACAGGCATGCGCCACCATGCCCAGCTAATTTTTTGTATTTTTAGTAGAGACGGGGTTTCACCATGTTGACCAGGATGGTCTCGATCTCTTGACCTCGTGATCCACCTGCCTTAGCCTCCCAAAGTGCTGGGATTACAGGCTTGAGCCACCGTGCCCGGCCCTATAGTGTGTATCTTTATATAGTTGTTAGGATAACATTTTCTTTAGTTGATTAATCTTGGTTTTGGTACTAACTTGTTATCTAGTTTGTGATTTTCCCTTGCTGGATCAGTTGATCCTTAATGATTCTTTCTAGTTCTTACTTAGATGTAATGATTTCTATCTTATAAGAGTCCTTTGATGTCTTAATTATTACTCAAAAAAAAATGTTTTTTTTTTTGTATAGAGACTGAGTTTTGCCATGTTGATCAGGCTGGTCTTGAACTCCTGACCTCAGGTGATCTGCCTGCCTCAGCCTCCCAAAGTGCTGGGATTATAGGTGTGAGCCACTGTGCCTGGCCTGCTTTTTTTTTTCTTTTTTTTTTTGAGACAGGGACCTACTCCATTGCTCAGGCTGGAGTGCAGTGGCATAATCAGGGCTGACTGCAGCCCCAGCTTCCCAGGCTGAGGTAATTCTCTCATCTGAGGCTCCCCAGTAGATGGGACCACAGGCTACACTATGCCTGGCTAATGTTTTGTATTTTTTGTAGAGATGGGGTTTTGCCATGATGCCCAGGTTGGGATGTCTTTAATTTCTTATAAACGTGTCTTGTTTTAAGTTAATGTGGTTGGAGGTAAACTTTGATGGCTGTTCCTCTCACTGCTTGGAGCCTTAGGCAGTGGGATTTTGATCCATCATATATAAAAAATGTCTTATCTTCACTCAGGGCACTGTGTGGATGGGCTGGCTGTCCGTTAGTGCCTTCTGAATTTTGCGGAGTCAAACAATTACTAAACAGGTGGTGATTCTAGATTAAGAAAATGTGTGATTAAAAAAATAAAAGCAGCAGCCTAGTTTCAGAACACGAGTGTATAGTAATTAGATAGCTCTCATCTAGCATTACGAAAGAAAGCTGTGGTCAGTTGATTCTGGGAGTTACTGAAACATTATATTCTAAAGTCATTCATGGCCAAATTTTAAATGCTTTACTCAGTTTTCTAGAGCGGTTGTTCACACACATGTCCGGGCAGTTTTAAAAATACACTTTTTGGCTGGGTGCAGTGGCTCACACCTGTAATCTCAGCACTTTAGGAGGCCAAGGTGGGCAAATCTTCTGAAGACATGAGTTTGCCATCAGCTTGGCCAACATGGTGAAACCCTGTCTCTATTAAAAATACAAAAATTAGCCAGGCATGATGGTGCGTACCTGTAGTCCCAGCTACTCAGGAAGCTGAGGCAAGAGAATCTTTTGAACCTGGGAAGGGGAGGTTGCAGTGAGCCACTGCACTCCAGCCTGGGTGACAGAGTGAGATACTCCATGTCAAAAAAATAAATGAAATAAAAAATTTAAATACATGTATATATACACATACTTTTCTTTGCAGTATGAAGGTAGATAATTCTTCAAGTTAAAGTTGGACTTTTCTCACCAGAAATGGCTTTATAGAATCAATTTGCAAAAATGTAAGAGGTGACAAAGGAAAGAATAAAATGATATTTTCATTTTCTTCTGTCATTCTTAGATCCTTTGGTAGATCGTAAGGTCCATGAAATCAGGATACCTTCCTTTTCCCTAAGGCCTGTCCCAGAAGAGATACCAAAGAAATATTTGCTTATATTATCTTAGTCTCTGGGTATTATCTTCTAAAGGAATTCTTGGGATGTGTACTGAAGGAGACATGTACAGAACTTTCAATGTGGTATTGTTTTTAATTGTAAACCTAGAATCAATGCCTATTATAAGAATGACTGCCAAAGCAAACCTATTTATGTGAAGCATAGATACATAAAAGCTAACTGGTATTTAGTAGGAAATCTTTTATTGTTAACATGTTTTTTACAATCTTATTTGATATTTATCATTGACTTAAATTGCACATACCATTCAGGTATGGTTAAAAACTCGTTTCTGCTTCGCACTGAAATATTTTCAATTGTTTTGCTCAAGTATACTGTTCTACATGGAGTGTTTATGTCCATGATGGTATATTTAACATGTAAGGGTACAAAATAAAAATCCAAATACTGAAAGTTGGGTATACTTAACTGTTTTTGTATTGCGATTTGATACTCATGGTTTTACCAGAATCTCACAAATGGTATGCAACTGTAATAACTTGTATTGGCCAGAATATGAAACCTATTCTTTAGATTAAGATTCTTGAAATTGCTTCATCAATAATATACATTTCATGAATGTTCAGTAGTTTCTCTAAAAACAGTAAACAGCTGAATTAAACCATTTCACAAATGACAAGAAATATGTTAGGTCTTTAGGTTTTCAGACTTGTCTGTTGCAAATCTCAACTTTTGGCTATAAAAACAAAATATGAAAATAAACAGTGAGGAAGTTACTTCTGTGTGTTAAAATATAGCACAGCCTACTACTTGAAACTCAATGCCTTTTCTCCTTCATTACGATGTCTTCAGACTGCTTTTCTATATAGATTCTCATTGAAAGTATTTCATATCTTTTCGGAGTCTGGTTCTGTTGCCCAGGCTGGAGTGTGTGTAGTGGCATGATCTCGGCTCACACTGCAACCTCTGCCTCCCGGGTTCAGGCTATTCTCCTGCCTCAGCCTCATGAGTAGTTCGGATTACAGATGCCCACCACCATGCCTGGCTAATTTTGTATTTTTTCATAGAGATGGGGTTTGATCATGTTGGCCAGGCTGATCTCGAACTCCTGATCTCAGGTGATACCCCTGACTTGGCCTCTCAAAGAGCTGGAATATAATTTTGTTATTCTGAGTAGTTTTGTCTTCATGGTTGGTTGTCTTGCTTTGTATAACCAATACAAATGATTAAGTATCATTTTAAAAGCAAATGAAATACAACATTTCGAATATTTTGATGTATATATCCTTTGTATGGTAAATATAACCTAGGAATGTAACCAGACTACCACTTCCATCTAAGCGTTAAGTTGCTGGAATGTTTGCTTTCTTGAATGTTGTGGTCACTCTGGCCTTCACAACTCTTATTGTAAGTTATTCAGACTCTTTGTGTTAGGAAGAATGCATTAAAGATTTATATATGAAAAGCAAAACTTTAAAACTATTGAAAAGCAAGAATATGATATTGGAGTAGACATAAGTACAAAAAGGAAAAGTTGGTAAATTTGTGTACACTAAAATTCAAACTTATGCTTGCATGCCATTTAACTGTTAAATAACTCCATAGAAATCAAGAAAATCATCAAAGGATATGAACAGGTAAATCACAGATGAGAATACCTGAGTAGTCATTCAGATGAAAAAATACTCTTATGAGTAATAAAAGAATTGTACATTAAAACAACACTGAGATACCATTTCACTGTCATCAGATAGACAACAATGAAATAAAATAAAACAATTGGACATGTCTGCATGTTGCTGAATTTATAGCATTGGACTCTCATATACTTTGCGGCAATGAAATTTATGCCTTTACTTTGGAGAGTGGTTTGGCAACATTTAGTTGATTTGAAGTTGCTTATATACTAACCCAGACTCTGGGTGTTTTTGTTTTTTTTTTTTTTGAAATGTAGTCTCGCTCTGTTGCCTAGGCTGGAGTGCAGTGGCATGATCTTAGCTCACTGCAACCTCTGCCTCCTGGGTTCAAGCGATTCTTCTTCCTCAGCCTCCCGAGTAACTGGGACTACAGGCACATCTCACCATGCCCAGCTAATTTTTGTGTTTTTAATAGAGACAGGGTTTCACTATGTTGTCCAGGCTGGTCTTGAACTCCTGACCTCATGATCCTCCAGCCTCGGCCTCCCAAAGTGCTGGGATTACAGGTGTGAGCTCTGGGTGTTATATTCTAGAGGAAGTTTAGGCATGTGTACTCAAGGAGACATGTACAGAATGTTCATTGCAGTATCATTTTTAATTGTAAAAACCTGCAATCCATGTCTATTAGAAGAATGGATAAATAAATTGTAGCGTATTTATAGTACATGGCTATTAAAATGAATCAATGTGATATATGTATTAACTTTGATACATCTCCCAGGAAGTGATCATATTGCAGTACAAAGGGAATTGGCTAGAATCATAAAGTTAGGTGCTAATCAAATTAGAATATTTTGCATTTTTGAACTTTAAATGAGTTGTACCTTTTTTTGTATTTTAATATTTCTACATTTGGCATAGTTAAAACCAGACATTACTTGGGTGCGGTGGCTCATGCCAGCATTTTGGGAGGCTGAGGCAGGTGGAGCATGAGGTCAGGAGTTCAAGACCAGCTTGACCAACACGGTGAAACCCTGTCTCTGCTAAAAATAAAAAAATAAGCCGGGCGTGGTGGTGTGCGCTTGTAATCCCAACTACTCGGGAGGCTGAGGGCACTCCAGCCTGGGCGACAGAGGCTCTGTTCCCTTTATCCCTGCCAAAACCAACCAACCAACAAACAAAAAAAACCCAGAAATTGAACAGAAGGCTCAAACAGCCAAAAACAGATGTTAGGGAGTACATGGTTTATACATGAAGATCCCAGTTTTTTGAAACTGGCTTATACCAGAATTAAGTTACTACTTTAAAGCTATCAGAGGATATTTTAGGAAATGTACAAAGGCCTAAATACTCTGAACCAGTTGACAGAACTTGCAGGAAGTTGCATAGTTTGGACAGTTTTTGTTTGAAGGAAAAAAATTTGGCATTATGGAGTCACTGCTCAGAAAGGGGTTTGCAGGGTTAGATGTTCATTGTGTGGCTGATTGCATCTGTTACTAATTCATAATAGGATCATAATATCTGGAAGGATGGCTACAAAAGAGACGACATTAGGTCTGGCCTGGTGGCGCACGCCTGTAATCCCAGCATTTTGGGAGGCTGAGGCAGGTGGATCGCTTGAGGTCAAGAGTTTGAGACCAGCTTGGCCAACATTACGAGACCCTGTGTTTACTAAAAACACAAAAATTAGTGGTGTGTGGTGGTGTGTGCCTATAATCCCAGCTACTTGGGAGGCTGAGGCAGGAGAATCACTTGAACCCAGGAGGCCGAGATGTCACCACTGCACTTCAGCATGGGAGACAGAGTGAGACCCTATCTCCAATGAAAAAACCCACGTAATTAGCCTGAGGACCTTTCTAGCTCTCCTATTGAGGTAGATTTTTAATGTGAATTCTAACAGATCCATATAGATTAAGCAGAAAATAACTACCTAAAGCAGCTGCTATAGGTAAGCACAGAAGAGCCAAAAAAAAAAAAAAAAAAAAAGCAACAGCATTAGAGTAGAACTGGCACAGTGCAATCATTTAAACACTGCCAGCAGTTCCAGGAGAGCACGCAGGTAGAGCACCTCAAAGTTGTGTCACTCAATACTATCATTTAATTTTTTTTTCAGATGGAGTGTTGCTCTAGTTACCCAGGCTGAAGTGCAATGGTGTGATCTTGGCTCACTGCAACCTCTGCCTCCCGGGTTCAAGTGATTCTCCTGCCTCAGCCTCCCGAGTAGCTGGGATTACAGACAGGCATCTGCCACCACGTCCAGCTAATTTTTGTATTTTAGTAGAGACGGGGTTTCACCATGTTGGCCACGCTGGTGTCGAACTCCTGACCTCAGGTGATCACCCGCCTCAGCCTCCCAAAGTGCTGGAATTACAAGCGTGAGTCACTGCGCCACGCCCACTATCGTTTAAAGTTCTGCAATGCATGTTCATAATGCAGACTTAAGGAAAATTATGATTTCCTTAAATGTGTATGGAGGATGTGTGAGAGCTGGAAAGATGTCTGTTCCAAGTTGATTAAAAATAAAATGGTGGACTACGTCAACATGGAGGTGCCAGCTGTCCAGTTAGAGCTGTCACACCGTTTCTGGGAACTTGTGATTTTTAGGAAGCCCCAGCTGTCCTCAGCGACTCCCCACAGCCTGGCAGGTCCCAGGATGCTTTGGGGCAACCCCGCGCCTGCGTGCTCTGGCGTAGTTCCCTGACGCCCTCCCGCGCAGAGAATCCTGGAATCTTCGCTTGTGGAGCTGTGGAGGTAATGGAGTTTTTCCGCGGTTTTTCTTTCAGTCTCGGATTAAGTATCATTTGTTATTATTATTGTTGTTAGTTCCTCCATTAAGTACAGAAAGCTGGCTGAAAATTTCAGACTTTGATTTCTGTGGGTCTGTTTCTCTTTAAAACTTGGCCCTCTCGCATCTCGTACAGCCATCAGATTGGCACTTACTCCCGAATCTGGAAGATTCGGAATTAGCTGCACCTCTCCTGTCTGAGAGAGGGCTCAGCTTCAAAGCTTCCCAGCTCCTGTGCTTCCTCTGTGCTCTCTATCCTGCCGGACGTAAAATAGGCTTCTTAACTGTGGCTGCCAAGTGACATATTTGAGGAAACTCACTCAGCGAGGCTATTGGGATAAAGGTGTCCTGGTCTCTAGTGTCTGGTCCGAGTGTCCGAGTGTTCCTGTTGACCCGGAGGACCCAAAGCGCCTTTTTTTTTTTTTAGAGAGTCCCAGGCTGGAGTGCAGTAGCACGATCTTGGCTCACTGTAGCCTCTGACTCCCGGGTTCAAGCGATTCTTCTGTCTCGGCCTCCCTAGTAGTTGAGATTCCAGGAGCCCACTACCACCCTGGCTAATTTTTGTGATTTTTAGTAGAGATGGGGTTTCACCTTGTTGGCCAGACTGGTCACGAACTCTGGTGATCCGCCCACCCTAGCCTCCCAAAGTGCTGGCATTACAGGTGTGAACCACCACCCCTGGCCCAAAGCAACATTCTTGACAGAATTTATCAGTTGATAAATGTGAACGTTTACTCTTGGTGTATAATTGGTGTGTCACTCATTTTATGGCTTGTTTTGGCATGTCCAGAATATTGCTGCACTTAAAAAGTTTTCAATAGAAGCATAGCATTGAATAGTGCAGTATTTATATTAATAGGTGAAGTTTTTTTTTTTTTTTTTTTAAGACAGTCTCTGTGGCCCAGGCTGCAGTGCAATGGCACGATCTTGGCGCACCACAACCCTTGCCTCCTGGGTTCAAGCGATTCTCCTGCCTCAGCCTCCTGAGTAGCGACTACAGGCTCACGCCGCCACGCCTGGGCTAATTTTTCTTTTTTTTTGAGACAGATTCTTGCTCTGTGGCTCAGCCAGGAGAGTAGTAGTGCTGTCTCAGCTCATTGCAACCTCTGCCTCCCGGGTTCAAGAGATTCTCCTGCCTCGGCCTCCTGAGTAGCTGGGACTACAGGCTCGAACCACCACACCTAGCTAATATTTTGTTTTTTTTGGAGACAGAGTCTTGCTCTGTAGCTTAGCCTGGAGTGTAGTAGTGTGATCTTGGCTCACTGCAACCTCCGCCTCCTGGGTTCCAGAGATTCTCCTGCCTCAGCCTTGTGAGTAGCTGGGACTACAGGTATGCATCACTATGCCAGGCTAATTTTTTTTGTATATTTTTAGTAGAGATGAGGTTTCACCATGATGGTTGGGCTGATCTCAAACACCTGACCTCAAAATGATCCGCCTGCCTTGGCCTCCCAAAGTGCCGGGATTATAGGCATGAGCCACCGCACCTGGCAATTTTTGTATTTTTAATAGAGACTGGGTTTCACCATGTTGGCCAGGCTGGACCTGAAAGGACCTGCCTGTCTCAGCCTCCCAGAGTGCTGGGATTATAGGCATGAGCCACTGGGCCTGACCCACATATATATTATTTTTGACTTTGGTAAGATTTGTAACCACCTGTGTCTTTATCCTTAAAATATTTTTAGAAAACAGGACAAATGAGAAGCACAATTAATATTGTTGAGTAACAAATCAATATATCAATTATAATAAATAAAATGTGTACTATTTTATCATAATAAAAACATGCATGTTCTATCTATCTATCTATCTATCTATCTATCTATCTATCTATCTATTTATTTGAGACGGAGTTTCACTCTTGTTACCCAGGCTGGAGTGCAATGGCGCGATCTCGGCTCACCCGCCTCCTGGGTTCAGGCAATTCTCCTGCCTCAACCTCCTGAGTAGCTGGGATTACAGGCACGCACCACCATGCCCAGCTAATTTTTTGTATTTTTAGTAGAGACGGGGTTTCACCATGTTGACCAGGATAGTCTTGATCTCTTGACCTCGTGATCCACCCGTCTCGGCCTCCCAAAGTGCTGGGATTACAGGCTTGAGCCACTGCGCCCGGCCCTATTTATTTTTTACTTGTTATTTATTTTCATTGCAATTTAACTTACTCGACCTTTTTATTTACCACTTATCAGGACTCTCTTCAGCTTCTGGAGACCTCACTATCCTATTATGTCTTTGTGTGAAGACATGCTGCTTTGTAATTATCGAAAGTGTCGCATCAAACTCTCTGGCTATGCATGGGTCACTGCCTGTTCTCACATCTTCTGTGATCAGCATGGTAGTGGTGAGTTTAGTCGCTCACCAGCTATCTGTCCTGCCTGCAACAGTACCCTTTCTGGAAAGCTAGACATTGTCCGCACAGAACTCAGTCCGTCAGAGGAATATAAAGCTATGGTGTTGGCAGGACTGCGACCAGAGATCGTGCTGGACATTAGCTCCCGAGCACTGGCCTTCTGGACATACCAGGTTAGTGCTTAGTCTAGTTTATCTTGAGAGTATAATTTAAGGCATTCGTGGGAGTGTCTAGTGTCTATTCTTCATTATTTTATATTTATTTTTTATGAGTATATGGGAAACTTTCTTTTTAATGAATTGTTTGTTTTCAAAAGCAATAGTGTTTTTTGTTGAGAATCAAAAGGAAGAAAATTAAAGCACTCATAATTCCATTACTCGGAGATAACCATTGTTGATATTGCACACACATACACATACACTTATATACTCTCTCACACTCTTCTATTCAAAAATAAGATAATACCATACATACTGATTTATTGTTACAGTTAATATATTTTATCTGGTATGAATTTTTCCTTTTTTTTGAGATGGGATTTTCTTTTTTTTTTTGAGACGGAGTTTCACTCTTGTTACCCAGGCGGGAGTGCAATGGCGCGATATCAGCTCACCGCAAGCTCCGCCTCCTGGGTTCAGGCAATTCTTCTGCCTCAGCCTCCTGAGTAGCTGGGATTACAGGCACTCGCCACCATGCCCTGCTAATTTTTTGTATTTTTAGTAGAGACGGGGTTTCACCATGTTGACCAGGATGGTCTCGGTCTTGATCTCTTGACCTCGTGATCCACCTGCCTCGGCTTCCCAAAGTGCTGGGATTACAGGCTTGAGCCACTGCACCTGGCCGAGATGGGATTTTCTTGTGTTGCTCGGTCTAGCCTCTAACTCCTTGGTTTAAGCCATTCTCCCACCTCAGCCTCTTGAGTAGCCTGTGCCTCACTTGGTATGAATATTTTATTAAATATTTTTCAATCATGTTTTAATGGTTTTATTGTATCATAATTTATTTCCAAGTTATTAAAATGCTATCATGAGCATTTATCAAATACACATCCTTAACTTTTTCACTTTATGATTTCTACTTTTGGCATTTCCTTAGAAAGCCCTCCCTGTGGATAACTTTAAGCATGTCCTCGAATATATTGTTATATTTTACATATATACTTACACTTTTTTTTTGAGACAGAGTCTTTCTCTTGCCCAAGCTGGAGTGCAATGGCATAATCTCGGCTCACTGCGACTTCCGCCTCCCGGGTTCAGGCAATTCTCCTGCCTCAGCCTCCTGAGTAGGTGGGATTACAGGCGTGTGCCACCATGCCGAGCTAATTTTTGTATTTTTAGTAGAGACGGGTTTTTACCATGTTGGTCAGGCTAGTCTCGAACTCCTGACCTCCTCGTGATTCGTGCACCTCAGCCTCCCAAAGTGCTGGGATTACAGGTGTGAACCATTGTGCCCGGCCACATATAAAGTTATGCTTCTTAAGGATGTTTGTCATCTATCAAGTAACTTTTTATTATATTTTTCTGGGTAAGTTATTTCTCTTACATGCTCCTGTATTTTTCAACTCCTTTGGTTAAATACCAAATAGTGTGTTTGCTGGCTTTTATGGTAAGAGTATGTTTACTTTTGTAAGCAACTGCCAAATTGTCTTCCAAAGTGGCTGTACCAATTTACATTGCCAGCAGCAATGAGTGAGAATTCCACATCCTTGCCAGAGTTTGGTATTGTCCATGTTCTGGATCTTGGCCATTTTAATAGGTGTATAGTGGTATGTCTTTTTAGTTTGCATTTCTCTGATGACATGTGATATACAGCATCTTTTCATATGCTTTTTTGCTATTTTTTTTTTGTGTATATATATATATATACACACAAGAATACACACACACACATTTTTTGTTGTTGTTTGTTTGAGATGGAGTTTCATTCTTGTTGCCCAGGCTGGAGTGCAACAGTGCAAACTCTACTCATTGCAACCTACACTTACTGGGTTCAAGTGATTCTTCTGCCTCAGCCTCTCGAGTAGGTGGGATTAAAGTCATGCAACACTATGCCCGGCTAATTTTGCATTTTTAGTGGAGATGGGATTTCACCATGTTGGTCAGGCTGGTCTTGTGCTCCTGACCTCAGGTGATCTGCCTGCCTTGACCTTCCAAAGTGCTGGGATTACAAGTGTGAGCCACCGTGCTTGGCCCTTTGTGTATGTTTTTTGGTGAGGTACATGAGAAGTTTTTGGTCTATTTTAAATTTTTTTTTTTATTGTTGAGTTTTAAGTGTTCTTCGTGTATTTTGGGTTAACAGTCCTTTATCAGATCTATCTTCTGCAAATATACTCTCCTGATCTGTGGCTTGTCTTTTCATTCTCTCACAGGGCCTTTCACAGAGCAGAGATTTTTAACTTTAATGTAGTCCTGCTTATCAATTTTCTCTTTGATGGTTTATACCTTTGGTGTATTTTGAAAGTCATTGCCAAATCCAAGATCACCTAGATTTTCCCCTATTACTAGCTTCTGGGAGTTTCATAGTTTTGCATTTTATATTTAAGTCTGTGAACTATTTTAGTTTATTTTTGTGAAAAGTGTAAGGTCTGTCTAGATTCATTGGGTCCTCAGTTTTTTGCTGGCTATTGGCCAGAAGCTGTTCTTAGTTACTTGCCTCTTGAACCTTCCTGACATAGCTGCTTTTTTCCTCAAAGCCAGCAAGGGTGAGTGTCTCCTAGTAAGACCTTATTGTCTTAGGTAGTAAACTCATGAAGTGACAATCTGTTACATTGTTTGTAATATTCTAGTCACAGGTTCTGCCCACATGCAAGGGGACAGGGAGTTACACAAGGGTGTACGTACCAGACGACAATGATAACTGTTTTAGAGTCTGTTCTTCATGCTCTGGATTACATGAAAAATGGGATTATATTTCTTAAAAATCTTTGAAAAACATGTCATGTATTAAGACAAAAACTCAGTTCTTTTGGTGGTATAATGTTAGTGGTTTCAGAGTATTCTTCCAGACTTTTTTCTATGCATTTAGTAACATAACTTATTGTTTTCTATATTACCTCATTGTATATACTGATTGCTTCTTAAACTGGGTTCTAAATGTTAAAATAACATCCCTGTTTAAGCATCTTTATTTTCCTTTTGTGTTTGTGTAACATTTTATAGTATATAACTTGGAACCTAATACCTTAAAAATCCTTTCTTTTTTGGAACCAGGTACATCAAGAACGTCTCTATCAAGAATACAATTTCAGCAAGGCTGAGGGCCATCTGAAACAGATGGAGAAAATATATACTCAGCAAATACAAAGCAAGGATGTAGAATTGACCTCTATGAAAGGGGAGGTCACCTCCATGAAGAAAGTGCTAGAAGAATACAAAAAAAAGTTCAGTGACATCTCTGAGAAACTTATGGAGCGCAATCGTCAGTATCAAAAGCTCCAAGGCCTCTATGATAGCCTTAGGCTACGAAACATCGCTGTTGCTAACCATGAAGGCACCCTTGAACCACCCATGATTGCACAGTCTGGTGTTTTTGGCTTTCCGTTAGGTAAGAAAGGACATGTGATACCCAGTATCTGTTCTTTAAATCAATGATTTTTTATATTGCGCTGCCCACTTCCAAGCTAAACTCCATCTCAAAAAAAAAGAAACAAAGAGTATAGGCTCTGAAAATAGGGTAGGGATATTGACCAAATTGTTTAACTTTCTGTGCCTTCTCATCTGTATAAAAGAGGGAGACTAATACCTCATAAAGTTTTGTAAATTATATGAATTTATATAAAACACTTACACCCTAGCACCTAGGAATCAATAATGGCAGCTAATATTACTACAACTATGTGGCTTTTAATTTAACATAGCAATTTTTGCAAGCTTTCATTTTGCAGAGATTAACTCTGCTCAAATTAAAGCTTTAATTTAAATGTAACCAAATACAATAGATAAAAGTGATGATGTACAGGTTGAAATGTGGGTGAAGAATTCATAGCCTTCCACAACTCAAGACCCTTATAGTCCCCACTGAATGCTATAGGACAGTACAATGTTACATTACTTCTCAGGGCCCCTGTGCAACCTTTCATTCCCTAAGCTACGTTTTCTGAAATTTGATTATAGCAAATGGCATGAAATGAAATAGCATACTTGAGAAAAAAAAAAAAGAAATAGCATACTTATTTGAACGGTTGCATTAATCTGACTCTGCCTCTAATTTCTTTTACTTTTTTTTTTTTTCTTGAGATGGAGTTTCCCTCTTGTTGCCCAGGCTGGAGTGCAATGGCATGATCTCAGCTCACCTCCACCTCCACCTCCTGAGTTCAAGCGATTCTCCTGCCTCAGCCTCCCGAGTAGCTGGGATTATAGACATGTGCTACCACGCCTGGCTAATTTTGTATTCTTAGTAGAGACGGGGTTTTTCCGTGTTGGTCAGGCTGGTCTTGAATTCATGACATTAGGTGACCCGCCCACCTTGGCCTCCCAAAGTGCCGAGATTGCAGGCATGAGCCACCATGCCTGGCCCAGAGCTTATACTCTTAACCATTTGCTATGCTGTGAGAAGACCATGTTTCAAATTTTTTCACCTGCCAATACCAATTGTACAGTTCTTAAGTTATTGTTAGTTTGGTTGTTTTGTTCTTTTGTTTATTGATTTTTACATTTATCAAATATTTAGCAAATATGTTTCATGTACCAGGTTGTTAGGTATGATCCCAACCAATGAGGATATAAAGATTATCCAAATAGGATTCCGTCTTTGTGGAAGTTCACAATCTAGCATGATGCCACCATCTCTTTTCCGCTTGTTAGGTGCCTTGCAGATGGAATAAATCTCATTTCTTTCTGAGTTCTGTTCTTTACAACAGAATCTGGTAGATTTTTGCAATGCTATTAATGGAAATTGTTTTTGGCATACAGAAGAGTAAAGCTTCTTGTGTTGGATTTTCCTAATACTCATTTTTGGATATTTACTATAGGTTGAGGAAAAAGGTTTAGTAGGGGAGGAGATGATGTTTTAGAAAAGGTATGAGGTGGTCAGGTGTGGCCCAGCACTTTGGGAGATTGGGGTTGGAGAATCACTTGAGCCCAGGAGTTCAAGACCAGCCTGGGCAATATAGTGAGATGCTGTCTCAGAAAAAAAAAAAAAACAAAAAAAAAAAACAAAAAAAAAAGAGAGGGGACAGGTATGAGGTGATGAGCAGTATCAGGTAAAAGAAAAAACCTGTTTCTGCTTAACTTTGTTACTTATATAATGTAATTTAGTCAGTGTTACTGTAAATGGGCATTATAGATATACTTATTTTTTTCCTGCCACTGTCCACATTTGTCTTTTTTTTTATATTCAATGGTTCTTGCCCATTCCTCTTTTTGTACATACTTAATCTTTTTATCTCCTGTCTTTTTATCTCCTGCTACCACTGTTAGCTTGCAGGATGTATAGTCAGCATTTTCCTTTAGTTGCTTAATCCTTTAAAACCTTTAAAAGCCAAGGAAGGGTTCAGTGGAAGTAGTTAAATGTTCATTTAATCAGATCTATAATCTGCTGTGTCTTAAGCCTGTGCTAATTGGTATTGGATCATGGTATACACTAGTATTTCATAGTTATATTTTTTCTAGAATGTTTATTGCAATGTTTTTTTTTTTAAAAAAAAAGTAACCTGGGGCAAAAGATTTTATGTCTTTTTTTTTCTAAGACAAATATTGGAGAAAAAATGTATATTCATATATATATATATGATGATTCCTCTGAAGTAAATTATATAGATAACAAATGAATAAAATTATGAAGCTGTAAATTAGAAGCATGTTTCATTGTGTCAAATTACTTTTAGTGATAGATCATGCTACCATTAGAAATTGAGTCACTGTATATGCATAGTCAGAAGATAGAGTAGGGAATATTACTGTCTTTTTCTTATCCAATATTAGGTCTGTATTTTATCCATCTTGTAGGCTTTGAGCTCTGTTAAAATTTTTATTGAATACCTTTTGTCGTTTTGTTCCTGAAGATCTATGAGGAAATAGATGCTTATGTTTTTCTCCTTTTTTTCCCCCTAGGTAACAACTCCAAGTTTCCTTTGGATAGTTCACCTGTTCGAAATCGGGGAGATGGAGATGGAGATTTTCAGTTCAGACCATTTTTTGTAGGTTCTCCCACAGCACCTGAACCCAGCAACAGCTTTTTTAGTTTTGCCTCTCCAAGTCGTGAATTAGAGCACCAGCAAGTTTCTAGCAGGGCCTTCAAAGTAAAAAGAATTTGAGCCATTTATGGTTTCACGCACCTGTGATCCCAGCTACTTAGGGGGTTGAGGCTGGGAGGATCACGTGAGCCCAGGGGTCTGAGGCTATAGTGATCTAAGATCATGCCACTGCACTCCAGCTTAAGCAATAGAATGAGACCCTGTTTCTAAAAAAAAAAAGTTAAAGGTAATTTAGCCAACTTTACAGAATGTTTCTATGTTCACCTTCAGTGATTTCATTTAGCAAATACTTTTTCTAGATAGGACTCCCGAAGCCTCCCTGTGCTTTTAAATCTCTGAAGTTGTCTTCACATTATCAACATAACCAACTCATTAGCAGTGGGGAGTGGTTTAGAGTCTGGTTTCTTTGTTTCTATTATTTAAAGCATGAGCATTTTATTAATCTCAATTCCATTGTGAACTGCTGAATTTTCATCCCTAGTGAGAAAGTTACAATAGCATTTGTTTCAGTGGATAACTGTTTCTCTCTGGGCTGTTACTGACTGAGCTGTGTTGTTTATGCCTTAAGTACCTGTTTTGTATGCTACATGTCACTTTGAATTCTGGTATTTATATATGTCTATATATGTAAGCATATTAATTTCCAATGATATTTTGCTACATTTGCCAGTATGTTTATATGAAAATTTTGGTCTTGGAGAATGGTAGGTGCTGTGTGGCTTGTTATTTGGGTATGTGTATTTATTTGTATATATTTATGTATTTACCTTTATATTAACTTGTTTGGAGGTATACTTATGTCAGTGTATGAGAGTACAATTTGATGCATGTATGTTCAGTCCCCATTTGTATTTAAGAATAACTCACATTGCTAAAGTTATTTTTCAAAGTTGATTTTTTTGGCGTTTATGGTTGGCCCTCTGTCTACACGTTCTGCCTCTGCAAATTCAGACCATCTATCAAAAATATTCAAGAAAAAAAATAATAATCTAATAATAAAAAATACAAATTAAAAACCAATACTATATAACAACTATTTGGATAGCATTTACATTGTAGGTATTATAAATAATTTAGAGGTGATTTAAAGTATTTGGGAGAATCTGTAGGTTATATGCAAATATGATGCCATTTTATAAAAGCGACATGAGCGTCCAAGGATTTTGGTATCCGTGAGGGTTCCTGGAACCAACCAGTCCCCCAGAGATACCAAAGGATGCTGTTTTAAAATAAAGCTACTTCTTTCTTTGCCTTTTTGTCAGCTGTTGCCTTGGGTTTACTTATTTAGGAATGCACTTCTGCCGAAAGTTTACCAACGTGTTACTGCTCTCAAGAGACTCTATTAAAATAATTTAAAAGATTATTTCTCATTTTCCTTTATTAAGTAGTGAGCATTTCTGACTATTATTATGGAAATTATGTTTATGCATTTGTTTAAAATGTAGAGCCATAGTAGAAATTTGAAGGACATTCTCAGCAACTTGTTTTTTGCTTTCTCATGATGGCTTTATTCCATTCTTCTCATCCTTCAGGTGACCATGTTTATTAGATCTTGATTTAGGCTTCCGGTGTTTCGTTTTTCTTTTTTTAAATTATACTTTTAATTTCTGGGGTACACATGCAGAACGTGCAGGATTGTTACATAGTTATACGCATGCCATGGTCATTTCCTGCATCCATCACCCCGTCATCTACATTAGGTATTTCTCCTAATGCTATCCCGCCTCTACCCTCCCACCCTCCGACAGACCCCAGTGTATAATGTTCCCCTCCCTGTGTCCATGTGTTCTCGTTGTTCAACTCCCACTTATAAGTGAGAACATGTGGTGTTTGGTTTTTTGTTCTTGTGTTTGCTGGGACATTCTCAGTAACTTTATGTCCTGTTACAGGAGAGACTTGAAAACATACTGGCTGGGGAGACAGAACATCTGGGTTCTGGTTATGGTTTTTTCTACTTAGTTTAAACTTTCTTGGACTTAGTCCTTCTATCTGTAAAATGAAGGATTGAATTAAGTTATCCTTATGGCCTTTTCTAACTCTTAAATTTTATGATTGATTCTTACTGATTTAGGATGTGTTAACAATGGAATTACCCTAAATGCCAAATCCCATTTTTTTTTAGTAATAAAAATTATACTGAAATCGCTTGAAGACACTTTAGTCACTGTAGAAAGGCAATTAAATATCCCTGCTTTACATAATTGAAAAGCAAGTAGTTTGCTTCACTAGGAATATAGAGTATAAAATCTCTTAAAAATTATTCAGTGTGCACCAAAGTTATTTATTGCTGCTTTTTTTGAGACAGAGTCTTGCTGCGTCACCCAGACTGGAGTGCTGTGGCGCATCTTGACTCACTGCAACCTCTGCCTCTTGGGTTCAAGTGGTTCTCCTGCCTTGGCCTCCTAAGTAGTTGGGATTACAGGTGCATGCCACCACACCTGGATAATTTTTGTGTATTTAGTAGAGACGGGGTTTCACCACATTGACCAGGTTGGTCTCGAACTCCTGAATTCAAGTGGTCTGCTAGCCTTGGCCTCCCAAAGTGCTGGGATTACAGGCATGAGCCACTGTGCCCAGCTTAGTGTGCACCAAAGTTAAATTGTCTGAGAAAGAGGATGAAAAATTTCAAATTATAAGTTTTAAAACATCCCTCATTTTATAGCTAATGACATAGATTTTATAGGTTACAATACAAACTATGTTGGAAAATGATTTGAGGAAATGATTTTATATACATTCATGATTTCTGCCTTGAACGTTTTGCTTCTTTGTTAGGTTCACAGAATCAGCTTGAAGCTGTAATTAAAACTAAAGTGAAACTGTCAGGAATATTACATGATACTTTAAAAGATATATTCACAAGGTACAGACTTGAAAGTTACAAAAAAGGCATAGAGTGAAAAGTCTACCGCAGTCCCCTAGTCACTCATTTTTGCTCTAGCCACTCACTTCTCTTTGTAAACAATAGTGTTGCCAGTGTTGTGTCTCTTTCCAGAGACTATATAAAAGCAAATCATTTATTTGCTTTATATTGTTTATATTTGAATAGGTGATGCATATAGATGGCAAGAAAATTCAAAAGGGCCGGCAGTAAAAATTTTCTTCGCTTACCTACAGCTCCCCTGTTTCTGTTTCCCTCTGCAGAGAGTCATCATTTCTTATGTATACTTCTGGATGTTGTCTATCAATATGGAGGCATTATTAGTGTACAAATGATGGTTTTATGAACAATCCCAAGTGTAGTATTTATTAGGATAGTGCATTAAAATGATAAAGTTAATCTTACATAGGAAATTATTGCAAAGTTTGGGAAAGATTCAATAAAGTAGCCATTGTACATGACTTTCAAAATTTCAAACAGGTGTGCACTTCTTAACCTCTCATCTTTATGGAGTATTATAAGCTTGGTATAAGTAAGTAGGAAAACATGAAACAAGAATATAGTAATTAAGCTGAGAACATTTTGTTTCCAGGATCTGGGAAAGAAGCTTATGAACTCAAATAATTGTAGAGCATCTCTGTGCTCTACGACATGGGTTAAGTTGGTTTCAAGCAGAGCCCTTCAGGTGCACATAAGCCTCCAGAGCGTCAGATGTCGCTGTGGTTCCGCGATGGGAGAGGGCGTGCGTCTCTGTGGTTATAAAATTGGGGGCGGAGAAGCGTAAATGATGGCTGATGAAGAGGAAGAAGTCAAGCCGATCTTGCAGAAATTGCAGGTGAGGCCGTAGATTAAAATCTGTATGTGCTTTTGTTCTCTGAAAGAAGCAGGGAGTCCATTTTACTTAGTGCCCGCGAGTTCCCTGGCACATAGGCGAGGCTGCGTGCGTCTGTGCGGTTACTATAACAACCCTCGAAGGTGCAGCCGCAGCCAACCAGGGAGCCTCCCAGTGTGCTGGGACCTGCTGCCGACCTGACTGCAGGTAATTTCAGTCCTGTAGGGAAGAGGATTTGTTGCTCCTAACTATTCATATATATTTTTAGAGAGGACGTTGTTTTCTTGATTCGTCCATAGCGAATAGCGTATACATGTGTATGGCAGATCTGCATGAACTATTATCACATGTTGTTTTGATCCCTACAAAAGCCATTTAACACCTTTCTGCTTTGAATTTGGCAACAGTCACACTAATGACCTGCACCACAAGTATCCTGGTTACTCTTCTTAGGACTTCAGTTTTGATTTTCAACATGTGTAATCCCACTTTGGGGTCTGATGCAGAGGTTTCCAGATTCCACGTAGTCCACAGGTGACTGTGCTTCTGAGTAAGACTAGTCTTTTGGACTCGGTAGCGAGACATTAACTAGTTGCTTGGCTCTTTGCCTTTAAGGACCCAAGATTTTCCTTAAACCTCAGGAACTCAGTTCTGCGTTCTAAGACAGCCTGTGATTTCAATATTAGAACTATGACAGGCTTGTAACTTGCCCAAACGCAAAAATTTAAATATTGGTGAAATTTGTTTCTTGAGTACATTAAAATAGTAACACTTTTTAGAGTGTTCCAACTGATTTGGATTAACTTCGTTTTTTCCCCTAATTGTGACTGGCTGAAATCAGAGATTCTCAATTCTGGTTCTATATTATAAACATTATTTGTGTATATATGTTTGTATCTGTACAGAAAATAGTCTGAAAAGGTATACAAATCAGTGGTTACCACTGAGGTTGTTTGGGGGAGTTTTTTACTTTCTGTTTTTTATATGTATCTATTTGAATTTTAACAACTTACATGTATTGATTTTGCCATGAGAATATAAGTTTCTACAAATGTTCGGTCCAGGGGAAAACAAAACCAAACAATAAAACCAAACAATTTCTTGAATATTTGCTTTAACAACTAAAACCAATCAATAAGCCCCTTTCTGAAACAATTAATTTGCAGCCATGTTGATTGCAGGACAAAAGGAAATTGGTTGTAATTTTTTATGAGAATTGCCTTTTCCTAGGTTCATTTGTGGTAAATGTCCTAAGCAGCTTGGGAGAGGATACTTAGGTTATCTTGGTGTGGGGTAGGTGCAGGAATGGAATGAGGGAGAGAAGAGGAAAAGGATTAGATAGTGGTGTTGCTGTTCATTGAGATGGTGGTAAGCTTTTATTTTATTGTTATAGACATTTTGGTGTAAAAGGAATGTTTAAAAGAATATTTCTCAAAGTGTCTTTTATAGACAGTTTTCATTACAATCATTGGGGTGCCTGTTAAAAATGCAGAATTTTGAGTTCTGCTAAATTGTTAAAATCAGAGTCTGCAGGCTGAGTCCTGGATGTAATATAATAAAGTGTGAAAAGCATTACTGCAGAGAGTGCTAGTCTGTTCTCTTCATTCTGGGTAGGATTTTTTTTTTTTTTTGAGATGGAGTTTCGCTCTTGCTACGCAGGCTGGAGTGCAATGGTGTGATCTCGGCTCACCGCAACCTCGGCCTCCTGGGTTCAGGCAATTCTCTGTCTCAGCCTCCTGAGTAGCTGGGATTACAGGCACGCGCCACCACGCCCAGCTAATTTTTTGTATTTTTAGTAGAGACGGGGGTTCACCATGCTGACCAGGATGGTCTCGATCTCTTGACCTCATGATCCACCTGCCTCGGCCTCCCAAAGTGCTGGGATTACAGGCTTAAGCCACTGCGCCCAGCCTCTGGGTAGGATTTTAAATTAAGTATAGCACATATATATTTGTTAGAACAGGGATAGTTAATTAGTGAATTTGATCAAGTATATTGAATGAGAGCCTAGCATATCCCAAGCCCTGTTCTGGTGCTTAAGTGAAGCTCGAAACAAAACAGATTAAAGGCCTTTCCATCATTGAGCTTACATTTCAGTGATGGAGGCAGACAAAAGACAATGATAGGCCACATAATTTTAAATGATAAGCATGAAAAAAAAATGAGTGTGATTTAACAGTAGAGGAGAGAAGGAAGGGATTTATTTAGGTTGAGTAATTAGGGAAAACCTTTCTGAGAGTTGATATTTAAGCTAAGATGTAAATGTTGATGAGGAATACGTCATGCAGAGATCTGGAGAGAGTGTCTAGGCACAAGGAAAAGCCTGTGTGAAGGCTTCCAGGTGGGCTGAGCTTGATGGGTTTGAGAAACTACATGAAGGCCACTGTGGCTTGAGTATTGTAGGAGAGAGTGGTGAGAAGTGAAGTTAGTGTCAGGATGGGTGGTGGTAGGTCAGCTCGTATAGTCTTCTAGGCCATGATAAAGATTCGGATTTTATTCTGTCTGCAATGCGAAACTATTTGAAGGTTTGTGATATGATGTCCGTTTTTTATAAGATCACTCCCACTACAGTGAGGAGAATGGGAGAGTACAGAAACAAGATGACTGGTTAAGAAGCTCTTGCAGTCCAGGCAAGTAATGAAGCTGATGTAATCCAGGAATGGTCATAGTGAGTAGAGACAGGTGGATGAATTCAGGATGTGTGGTGAACACAGTTTATTAGACTCGATGGGAAGCGATTATATATTTCTGCTGCTATCCAGTTTCAGGAAAGAATAGGGTGAGTATCTCTTATCTGAAATGCCTAGGACTAGAAGTTTTTTGGATTTTGGATTTTTAAAAATTTTGGAATATCTGCATATATATAATGAGATAACTCAGGAATGGGACCTGAGTTATGAAATATGAAACTTGGTGGCTTGTGCCTGTAGTATCAGCACTTTGGGAGGCTGAGGTGGGAGGATTGCTTGAAACCAGGAGTTTGAGACCAGCCTGGGCAACCTAACAAGATGCTGTCTTTTGCTGCTTTCCTCTTCTGGATTCCATCTTTCTAAATTCGCTTACTCAGTGTCCAAGTTAGCTGTTTCTTTTTCTCTCCTCCTATTTCTCTCTCTTTCTCTCTAAATAATTCGCTTTCTACCAAAAAAAAAAAGAAAAAAAAATTGTTTCATTTAGACTTTATACACATACTCTGAAGGTAGATTTTTAAATTAAAAAAAAAAGAAAAAAAAATTGTTTCATTTAGACTTTATACACATACTCTGAAGGTAGATTTTTAAATTAAAAAAAAAGGAAAAAAATTGTTTCATTTAGACTTTATACACATAGGCTGAAGGTAGTTTTTAAAATAATTTTTTGCCTGAAACAAAGTTTTGACTGTGTTTTGATTGTGTGTCAGGTATGGAATTTTCTACTTGTGGTGTCATGTCAGCATTTAAAAAGTTTTGGATTTTGAAGGATTTCCGATTTTTGGATTAGGGATGCTTGGCCTGTAGTGTTAAAGCTTTGCCTGGTATGACAGGAAGACTCGGAGGCATTTAAGAGGAAAGAGAAAATTTACTTGTAAAAATCCAAGACAGCCAGAAGATGACTTGACAAAAAAATCAAACTAAACAAAACCACAATAAGCATTTCAAAGAACAAAATGCTGCAAAAATACCAAAGTCACCAAGTTCAGATTGGTATGTTTGTGATGTAAAACAATGACTCTCTTAACATGTTTATCATATTCACAAAGGTTGTATTGTATTTTCAGATACCAGCGTATGAAAAATCAGGGATAAAACGGTTTTAGTTAAGAAGTCCAACTTTAAGCATAAATTTCAAAGTGTTATTCTTTAAGGACCAGAACCATATAGAATGATCTTATAAATTTTTGGTTTATCTTAAGTTGCGTGTTTCCCTCCTCATGACTGTGGTATGTGGAGTGCTTAGTCATATTAGGAGCCCTGCTAGGGCAGGGAGAGAAAACGGTCATCACATTACAGACACTGGCATCGGACAAGATGGGACCATGAGAGCGGGCCTGGAGTACTGGCTGCTTTTCCTCGTGATTTGTGGCATTTTGGTAAACCTGTCTACCTGCCTATTGTGCCATTCCTAGGTGAGACAAGATAATTGGTATTTTTAGATCAAGAGTGGTATGGCTAGCCAATTTCAAGTTTCCCTGTCCAGTGCTCTCTCCACTTAATGGTTCCATTGTCATACTTTTTAGGAACTAGTGGATCAGCTCTATTCATTTCGAGACTGCTATTTCGAGACACATAGTGTTGAGGATGCTGGGAGGAAGCAACAGGATGTGCAAAAGGAGATGGAAAAGACCCTACAGCAGATGGAAGAAGTAGTGGGTATGAGCCCTAGAGATTGTACAACCCCCCATCCGTCACTGAAAGTGATCAACCTTTACTCCCTCTTTGTAGAGTCTTTGGTACTACTGTTACTACTATAGGGTAGTACAACATAATATTACTTCTTAGGGCCCCTGTGCAACCTTTCATTCCCTAAGTTACTTTTCCTAAAATTTGATGATAACAAATAGCATGAAATGAAAGAACATACTTACTTGAACTATTGCAGTAATCTGACTTTCTGCCTCTAATTTCTCTTTCTTTTTTTGAGACGGAGTTTCGCTCTCGTTTCCCAGGTTGGAGTGCAATGGCATGATCATGGCTCACCGCAACCTCTGCCTCCTGGGTTCAAGCAATTCTCTTGCCTCAGCCTCCCTAATAGCTGGAATTACAGGCATGCACCACCACACCCGGCTAATTTTGTATTTTTAGTGGAGATGGGGTTTCGCCATGTTGGTCAGGCTAGTCACAAACTCTTTACCTCAGGTGATCTGCCTGCCTCAGCTTCGCAAAGTGCTGGGATTACAGGCGTGAGCCACCACACCTGGCCTCTTTTACTTTCAAATCCATTTGTATAATGACCATGGCCATGGTTGTCTTTCTAAATCATTACTTCATGCATTTAACCTTATCCTCCTATCTGCCTTTTTGCTCTGGTATCTTTAAAGATTTATACTATTGACTAGCTGAAGTCTAACCCCCTTAACCTGGCATTTAAGTGTCCATTGTTTTACTCTGTTTTTTTTTTTTTTTTTTTTTTTTTTTGAGACAGAATCTCGCTCTATCGCCAGGCTGGAGTGCAGTGGCGCCATCTCAGTTCACTGCAACTTCCGTTATCCGATTTCAAGCAATTCTCCTGTCTTAGCCTCCTGAGTAGCTGGGACTACAGGCATGTATCACCACGCCCAGCTAATTTTTTTGTACTTGTTTTTAGTAGAGATGGGGTTTCACCATGTTGGCCAGGATGGTCTTGATCTCTTGACCTTGTGATCCACCTGCCTCCGCCTCCCAAAGTGCTGGGATTACCAGGGCCCAAAGTGCTGAGCCACCGGGCCTGGCCTTTACTCTGTTTTCCAACCTTACCTGTGACTAATCACTTATAGAAGAACTTTCTGTTTCATCCAGGTTGAACCATCTATTCTCCTGTGATTATGGTCACATGTAGTTCTGCCTCTATGTCTTTGTTTATATCATTTTCTAACCTGGAGGCTCTTTTCTTCTCTCTCTCTCTCTTTTTTTGTTTTAACAGTAGCTGTTTGTCCTGATTCTTCTTCTCTTGACTTTCTAAAGTCCATTTGTTGGGCTAGTGTCATATGCTCTTTTTCATGGTTTTAATTTTTAATGTCTATGCTTTATCTTCTCCAATCCTCTAGGAAAGTTAGCAACCAAACTGATCCTTGTAGATTGGGGCCTGAGAAACTGATGGCAGAAGCTCTAGAAATAGTGCTTTCTTTGCATGGAGATTCTCCAGAAAATTAAAAAGAAAAAAAAATATTGCTTTCTTTGTTGCCCAATTAGCTAACATAGCACTCTGCTTATGGTGAGCTTTTAATAAATGATTTGTTGATAAAGATTTTCGTCAACTCTTTTTATTCCTAAAACTGACATTAATTAGTTATTTTTTGAGAGAAGGTGCCCTGGCATTAACTGATGCTTTTTTCTATCATTTTTTCTTCCTCTTAGGTTCTGTCCAGGGCAAGGCACAAGTTCTAATGCTAACTGGGAAAGTCCTAAATGTGACTCCTGACTATAGCCCTAAAGCTGAGGAACTTCTGTCAAAGGCTGTGAAGCTGGAACCCAAGCTGGTGGAAGCCTGGAACCAGCTGGGTGAGGTGTACTGGAAAAAAGGGGACGTTGCAGCTGCCCACACCTGCTTCAAAGGAGCCCTCACCCATGTGAGCTCCCCACTATTCCTTTGGAAAACACAGATGGGAAGGATAAATTTCTTTGGTTCTGTGAGTTTCCCTAGAACATGAAAACTAGAGTAGAACTGAGTTTGAACTAGGAGAAGAGAATCAGAAGGGAGGAAAGGTCAGAAGAAAAGCAGACCTAGAGGAGGAAAATAGAGGCAGAGGGCTGGGAAAGAAAGATGATGATGGAATCAGGTTCAGATGGAGAAAGGGAGTGAAGAAAAGTTAGCAACTAAGCTGATCCTTGTAGATGGGGGTTGAAGATACAGATGACAGCAAGAATTTAGATGAAAAAATTAGGGCTGGGTGTGGTAACTTACACCTGTAATCATAGCACTTTGAGAAGCTGAGACAGGAGGATCACTTGAGCTCAAGAGTTTGAGACCAGCCTAGGCCACATAGTGAGAACTTGTCTCTTAAAAAAAAAAAAAAAAAAATATATATATATATATATATATATATATATATACACACACACACACACACACACACGCACATATGTAAGTGTATGTGTACATATATATACACACACATACACATACATATATATGCCAGACGTGGTGGCTCATGCGTGTAATCCCAGCACTTTGAGAGGCCAATGTGGGCAGATCATTTGAAGTTAGGAGTTTGAGACCAGCCTGGCCAACATGGCAAAGTCCTGCCTCTACCAAAAAATACAAAAATTAGCTGGATATGGTTGCATGTGGCTGTAATCCCAGTTACTACGGCACGAGAATCACTTGAACCCAGGAGGTGGAGGTCACTGTGAGTCGAGATCGTGGCACTGTACTCCATCGTGGGCGACAGAGTGAGACCCTGTCTCAAAAAAAAATTATAGCCAGGTGTGGTGGCTCACGCCTGTAAGCCCAGCACTTTGGGAGGCTGAGGTGTGTGGATCACTTGAGGTCAGGAGTTCGAGACCAGCCTGGCCAACATGGTGAAACTCAGTTTCTACTAAAAACACAAAAATTAGCTGGGCATGGTGGTGCATGCCTGTAGTCCCAACTACTTGGGAAGCTGAGGCAGCAGAATGCTTGAACTTGGGAGGTGCAGGTTGCAGTAAGCTGAGATCACTCCAGCCTGGGTGACAGAGCAAGATTCCATCTCAAAAAAAAAAAAAGATGAAAGATTAGTTGTAGAAGATTGAGTTCAGAATAGATCTAGAAAGAGGAGGTAGAATCAGGAAACCTGAGTATATGTCTTTTCTATTTGCAGTGCAGGAACAAAGTCTCTTTGCAAAACTTGTCAATGGTGCTTCGCCAGCTGCGGACTGACACTGAAGATGAACATTCTCAGCATGTCATGGACAGTGTCCGACAGGCTAAGTTGGCCGTTCAGATGGATGTGCATGATGGCCGCTCCTGGTGTGAGTGCTCTCAATCTTCAACACGTTTCTAGGGCAGATGTTTTCAATCATAGCAACATTTGCAGTCTATCTTTCCAGTCTGACTCTGAGGTTTAAGCCAGGGCATCTTTGCTGTGAAGACACACAAGAGACATTTTGGTGAACTACTTTTCTAGGAACTCTTAGATCTTTTGATCCTAGTTTTCACATAAGCAAGGCAGGGTTTTTGTACAGTCTGTTCAAATTTCAGTTTGGAGTCCATGTTTGTTGCTCTATACTAATGGAATTTTGGGTGTACTAAGTATTGTATCATGCCTGGTTTGGGTTTCATGTGGGACCTTTCAAATATACTTTCAAGGATGATCAAAGTAAGTCATATCTTGAACTTGGGCTCTAAGATAATTCATCACTGTGTTTCTCTTTCAGATATTCTTGGGAATTCATATCTTTCTCTTTACTTCAATACTGGCCAGAACCCTAAGATCTCCCAACAAGCCCTCAGTGCCTATGCCCAAGCAGTAAGTACTTATGGTCACCAGGGCAGATGAATAGGCAGCAACAGAAGCAAAAGCATCATTCAGTCTTCTCTGTGGCCCTTTAGCAAGCATTATGGGCAATGGCAGTGTTTGCTGGCATCTTGTGTGTGATTTTGCAAAGATGTGTCTGCAGAGGTTACTGACTTCTTGTAACTCGAGTGTTAGGAAGAACTTGCATTGTGGTACATTGGTGTTGGATAGCTCCTTGAACTGTCTAGGCTTCTTACACGCATGTGCAACCAAATCACAGAGCTGCCTCAACATGTTCATCTTTTTTAATGGGTAAAAATCTATTAAAATAATGCTTATTAATATTTTTGTACATTCGTTTTAAAGAAAAATGAAAACGTATACTTCAGTGTAAATTAAGTGCTATTCCCAAATTAACTGTTAGACAGTATGGCTCTGGATTTTCTGTGGGCTAAAAGAGAAAACTGTGTAGCTTGTTCTACATCATTTCCTAGGAATTAAGTGAAATAGGTTATTTAGGTTTTCAACAAATTTAGATTTTCAGGCATTTTTGTATTGATAGATATTTGCATAAGGCTTTCCCTCAGACTTTTAGTGTCTTTTTTCTCATTATTAAAACTGGCTTCTCGGTTAACATTGGCCTTTGAACACTTTTTATTTAGCTCTCATATTTACCTTTCTTCTTTTGCTTTCTTGCTTCTCTTGATATAGATAATTGCTTTTTAACTTATCATTATTTATTCTGCTCCATGTGGTAGAATAAAGAACACAGCTAGTGTATGTTCGTGTTTGTAATTCAGGGACTGCCCTTTAAAATTTTTTTTTTCTCCCCGCTCCTGTCATCCTCCCCACAAGTCTACCTTTGACTTTAAACTGCTCTTTTCCAACTTGGTAACTTGTAGAGCAATTATATTTTACTCTAATTTCTTACTTTGGTGTTTACATTTCAAAGAATAGTATGATGTAGTCCTTCAACATTTTATATTTGGCTTCTGCTAAATAGTCGCTTTTTAATCTTATATTTTTTGCCCAGACCTGCATTTGTAAACATATCTGAACCCACTATTTAAAGAATTTTAATTCATGGTGTTTTGCTTTTACAATGCACTAGGTAATGAGGAGAATTAAAAAAACATAGTGAGCATAGTCATGAACATAGCTGCACTGTCTCATGGTATCTGGCCATCTATTTTATCTTTTTTAAAAAATTTTTTATCTGGCCATCTATTTTAGTTAGAACCTGAATTTGGCTTTCTATGCATGTTTTAAGGGGACTTGGATGTAGAAACATGATTGTGCATGTGTCTGGAGCCAGGTTTATGGGGAGAAGAAATGCATGAAATGAACATCATTTCTAGCCTAGCTTTTCTTCATTTATTACCAGCACCTCACTATTTAAATTTTTAAAAATCAAAATGATTTTACATATTTCATTTATTTATTTATTTATTTATCTTTTTCGAGATGGAGTCTTGCTCTGTCACCCAGGCTGAAGTGCAGTGGCGTGATCTTGGCTCACTGCAACCTCTGCCTTCTGGGTTCAGGCAGTTCTCAGCCTCAGCCTCCTGAGTAGCTGGAATTACAGGTGCATGCTGCCATTCCTGGCTAATTTTTGTATTTTTAGTAGAGACAGGGTTTCACCATGTTGGCCAGGCTGGTCTTGAGCTCCTGACCTCAGGTGATCTGTCCACCTCAGCTTTCCAAAGTGCTGGGATTACAGGTGTGAGCCACCGTGCCTGGCCCATGTATTTCATTTATATAAAGATTTATTCTGTCTTTATAATATTACATGGATAACTTGTAATCACATTTGAAAGTCTCACACATACAAAAACACTTATATTCCTGTGGTTTTAGGGACAAAATGTTACCTATACCACAGAATCAGTTGGCAAGGAAAAAACTTCCATTTTTCTAGGAAGAGGAGGTGTAGCACATGTTGGGCATGGCAATCCTTAACATTGAGACAGGATCCACTGATAAACTTTTTATCCCATTATAGGAGAAGGTTGACAGGAAAGCTTCTAGCAATCCTGACCTTCATCTGAACAGGGCAACGGTAAGACCTTTGGGGTGTAGTCATCTGAGGGTCAAATAAATAAGACAACTAGGTCTTAGCTTGTGAGGATAACTGAGTGTACATAGGGACAAGATTGGGTACAAACTGTGAGAGGAAAGCTGTGCTATTTCTGTAAGGAATTAACTTGGTTTGGCTTCAGTATCTGGTGTAGCCACTGGAGGGAAAGGAGAAGGGGCTGAGGAGGTGGAAGAATATGTAGAAAATGGGGAGATCTTTTAGAAGACTTCTGAAATGTTAAGTAAATATAAAGGTCAAGTGACCCAATATATACAACTTAACTATTTTAGAGTTTGGAAATTAGCTTCTTTGAAATGATTCTGTCTTTGGGGTTGTGATCATCTTGGCTAGGAAGAAGGCTGTAAGGTGCTACCAGCTCTTCAGGCTGTTTATGGTAGCTTAGGAAAACAGTTTATTTCTGTAGATTCCTAGCCCGTGGTGCCATTATTCCCTCAGCATAGTTTGTTTGGATATACCTGTAATTGGGATATACTTCTTGTACAGTTGCATAAATATGAAGAGAATTATGGGGAGGCCCTGGAGGGCTTCTCTCGGGCTGTAGCCCTGGACCCTGCCTGGCCAGAGCCCCGACAACGAGAGCAACAACTTCTGGAATTCCTGGATAGATTAACCAGCCTCCTTGAGAGTAAGGTAAAAATGTCTAAAGGGCTGAATTCTACTTTTTTTTTTATTTTGCCATGGGCCAATAAAATAAGAATAAATAGGTTTAGGAGGTAGTAACCCTATAGAAGTGGTGGGAGGGAAGGATTAGAATCTCGAGGAAGGTGGTTAGTTTCCAGCTTCTTATCTGTTTCCCCTTCTTTGCAGGGAAAGGTGAAGGCCAAAAAGCTACAGAGCATGCTGGGAAGCTTGCGCCCAGCCCATCTAGGCCCTTGCAGTGATGGGCACTATCAGTCAGCCTCTGGGCAGAAAGTGACCCTAGAGCTTAAGCCACTGAGTACACTGCAGCCTGGGGTGAACAGTGGTGCCGTCATCCTGGGAAAGGTGGTATTTAGCCTCACCACAGAGGAGAAAGTCCCCTTGTGAGTTTCTCTTGGATTTTCCCCTTTTTACCCTTTTAAACTAATTGCTCTCTCTTCCTTTTCTTTCTCTGGCAGTTGAGGACATTGTTAGTGGTCACAGATTTATGACTTCTGATTTCCTCTGTGACTGTCCCATGGGCAGATATTGCCTAGGTGATATTTAACAATCTTTGATCACAGAGGCTTTTTTGATTCGTCACTGCTCATTTTTAGCCCTGAGTTTGGTGCCATGTGGATTCCTATATCCATAGTTGAAATTTGGCAACTATGTTTTAATATTTTAAACATTTTTTATGTTTAAAATATGTTTTTTTTAATAAGACAGAAACCTTAAAATTCTGTCCTTTTGTGTTTTCATGATCACAGAAGTTAAAGGAGGACAAATCCTTACTCCTGTTTGTACTTAGGTATACTTAGGCAGTTCTGAAAATTGAGCTTTGAGTTATAATTTAAAGTCTGGTTGGGAGATTGTCTTAGATGTCATTCAACAAATATTTATCGAGCATGTATATATGTCATAGGGAGTGAGAAAAAAGAAATGTAAAGGACACAGGTGCAGGTGCTTCTAGCAGCGGAGGAAATGAATTAAGAATATTTATTTAGAAAATTTTTGGATCTTGAAAAGTTACGGTTTAGTGAGTGCCACCATTCCTTGATCCTTCACTCACTTCCTAATCCCTGGTGGACTGGCTTCCCCTTTCTCTCTTCTACTGAAATTGTTATTTTCCTAGGATTACCATTGTCTTTCTAGGCACTGGATCCAGCGACTTCCATTGCATGGTTCCAAAACATTTAGACTATTGAATATCTCTCACTATTGCCTTTCACATCCCTTCGGTTCCATCCAAATGGAAATATTCACAATTTCCATTATATGCCCAAGCTTTCTCTATGGCATTTTCTATAGGTTTGTGTGTTTGATAAGTTGAAGAGCAAAATGATAGTTGAGAACAGTTTGGTTAACTAGAGCAAACCCTAGAACTGAGAAGAATTAGAAAGGGATATAAATAAAGGAAGGCTTTGGATGACCGTCAGAACAAATAGATATTTTACAACTTCTTGGTTTCTCTTTTTCTGCCCAACTTTTAAATCTTGGGTTCCCAGGACTCTTTTTTTTTTCTTTTTTCTCTTTATACCAGGATGGCCTCTAGTTGCCAACTTTGATCACTTGTCAGTGGTTGCGTGACATACTGTGTAGAAGGATCCTGAGGCTTTGACTGGATCCGTCAGGAGAGTGCTTTGCTTGATTGCAGTGTTTCCTGTGAATTCAGGTGTGTCATGTGATGGCATGAGTACAGTTCTCCATCCTATCTATAGATCATCGTGCCTTGTGATGTTGTATAAACCCAAGCCTCCTATATGCTCACAGATATATCTCCAGCCCAAGCTTCATTTCCAAGTTTTGGATCCCTATAGCCAACTGCCTCTGGGTTCCAATAAGAAATCTCTAACTCAGTATTTCAGTATTACTCACCTAAATCTTTCTCTGTAAACCTGTTTCTCCTCCTTGGATTCCCTGTGAATGAATGGTATCACCTCTCAGTCACTTGATTAAGACTTTTGGAAGAATAGGCTTCTCCATTCTCTTGCATTGAGCCATTGCCAAGTTATAGATTTGCCTTTCTTTGTTCTGTGTACTTGACTTCTCTGTCTGTCATCTTAATTCAGGCCCTTATCACTTATCCAAATAGGCCTCCCTGATTCCCTGGTTTACTCCAGTGTTCCACAGTGCTGTCAGAGAAATGTTTCTCAGATATAAATCTGACCATTGCTACTTATTTAAGATCCCTTATTGGTACTATACGTAGCTTTTGGGATAAAGTGTTTTTTTTTTTTTTTTGAGATGGAGTCTTGCTCTGTCGCCAGGCTGGAGTGCATTGGTGCAATCTCAGCTCACTGAAACCTCCACCTCCTGGGTTCAAGTGATACTTCCGCCTCAGCCTCCCGAGTAGCTGGGACCATAGGTGCGTGCCACCACGCCCAGCTAATTTTTTTTGTATTTTTAGTAGAGATGGGGTTTCACCATGTTGGCCAGGGTGGTCTCGATCTCTTGACCCTGTGATCCGCCCACCTCAGCCTCCCAAAGTGTTGGGATTACAGGCATGAGCCACCACACCCAGCCAACTTTTGGGATAAAGTTTGAACTACCTAGCTTAGCATACAAAGTCTTTCATGATTTGCTCCTTGCTTTTTTTTTCCATTATTTTCTGTCACTTTCCCACATGTGCCTTTTGTTTCAACCATGGAACTATTTTGAAGGTTTTAGAACAGCTGTTTTTAGGCCTCTGTGTCTTACATATAGTTACTCTGCCTGAATAATCTCTAGCTTCTTGACATAGCTAACATCTCCTGCCCCCAACATTTTGTTATAAAAATTTTCAAACATACAGCTAAGTTGAAAGAATTTTACATTGAATGTCTTTGTTCTCAACCACTTATATTCTATTAACATTTTATTTTACTTAGCTTATCACGTATCTGTCTGTTTATCCTGTCATCAGAGTAAATTACAGAGATCAATGTACTTTCCTCTACATACTTCAGCATGCAGTTATTACCTGAGTTCAGTATTTCTTTTGACTTTTTCTTTCTGTTTTTGAGATGGAGTTATGTTCTTGTTGCCCAGCTGTAGTGCAATGGGGCATGATCTTGGCTCACTGCAACCGTCACCTCCCAGGTTCAAGCGATTTTTCTGCCTCAGCCTCCCAAGTAGCCAAGATTACAAGTGCACACCACCATGCCTGGCTAATTTTTTTTTTTTTTTTTTTGTATTTTTAGTAGAGACAGCGTTTCACCACATTGGCCAGGCTGGTCTTGAACTCCTGACCTCAGGTAATCCACCTGCCTCTGCCTCCCAAAGTGCTTGGATTATAGGCATGAGCCACTGTGCCTGGCCCAATTTTTCTTTTTATGTAAAATTTACATACAATGAAATGTACAAATCTAAGTGTACATTTTGTAGCTTTTGACAAATGGAAAATATTCATATAACTCGAATAGAGATCATTACCACCATTCCAGCAAGTTCCCTCATGTTCCCTCCAAGCCAATCTCTGCTCCTGTCCTCCTAGAGGTTTTTAAAATTTTGACTGAGGATTAATTTTTCTATTTTAACTCAGGTGGTTTTTCACCCTTTAAGATTCACTTTGAGCGTCTTCTCTTCAAGGACATCTTTCCTGCTTTCCAGTTTTGATTTAAATATTTCTCCTCTGGGTTCTCACAGTCTAATCTGTGGCTTCACTGAATTCAACACAAAGGAAAAACTATGCTATCACCCATCACACTGTACTGTTAAGTGATGGCTTCATTGTCTGACTGTTACACTGTAGGTTGTTCATAGCTGGATTGGTATCTTACTACTAAACACAATTCTTGGCACATACATAATATTTGGTGAAAGTTTGTGGAATTAAACTACACAGACAGTGATGGTTAGAGACTTTGGTTAAGAGAATAATTAAATTGATAGATCAGTAATAATGTTACAACTGTAACATTTTGGACTAGTTCATCATTAATATTTGTTGAATGGCTTCAGTGTGCTTTGTCTAAGTTCTTAGCAAAGTGACAGATTGATGAGTTTCAGAAAAATGAGAACTCAGATGTAGAAAGTGGAGGATGGTACCTCATAGGTTTTCTAAGTAACTGAGAAAAAGCATTTGTTTATTTTGTTAGTATTTTATTTTTAAAATTTAATAAACTAAATTAAATTTCCTTTTTTTGTCCCTGTCCCCAACTAAATTAAATTTTATATTTTATTTTAAGTACCTGTCACTGATTTTAAGTCCAGTATTTTGCTAGTATTTTTAAACCACTGCTTCTGCTCTTCTTTCCTACCCACCTACCTTTTTGTTTTCCTCTCTCCTAATCTGTCTTTATCTGGCAGTACATTTGGCCTGGTAGATTCAGATGGACCTTGCTGTGCCGTGATGGTGTACAATATAGTGCAGAGCTGGGGAGTGCTCATTGGAGACTCAGTAGCCATCCCTGAGCCCAACCTGCGGCTTCACCGAATTCAGCACAAGGGAAAGGTAAGTGATGGCTAGGATTCTCTTCCAACTCATAGGCTCTAAAAGTAGAACCAAGCTTATCTTTTTATATAAGATATAGAAATAATGTATATGTGAGTGTGTGTGTAGGCTATGTGTGTATATATTTGTGTGTGTATATGTTTTATATATATATATTTTACTAAAAAGGTAAACTGATAAGCAAAAAAATAAAAAAATGGAGTGAAACATTATCACTCAGCTGTTATCACTTAAATGTTACTACTGTTAACAGTTTGGTGTACAAACCTGAAGTTTTTTTTCTTTTCATAAATATATGCACATATATTTTTATCTGTATTTTAAATCGGGTAGGATATCTTATGCAAATGCTTGTGAATATTTCCTATGTTTTTACATATTTCACCACATTGAGTAGACACAGGGTGATGAAGATGGTAACATTTATTTAACACTTAATTGAGTGCTAGACACTGTGCTAAGAGTTTTATTGCCTGCCTTGCCTCATTCAGTTCTTACAAAAACCTTATGAAGGTAGATATTTAACCACTGTTTAACCATTTAGATCAGGGGTTGGCAAAGCCCATTAACCAAGTCTGGCTCATTGCTTGATTTTATTTAGAAGGGTTTCTAGGCTGGACATGGTGGCTCGTCCCTATAATCCCAGCACTTTGGGAGGCCAAGGTGGGAGGATCGCTAGAGTCCAGGAGTTTAAGACCAGCCTGGCCAACATAGTGAGATGCTGCCTCTACAAAAAAAATGTTTAAAAATGTAGCCAGGCATGGTAGCACATGCCTGTAGGCCCAGCTACTGAAGTGAGAGAATCACTGTATCTCAGGAGTTTGAGGCTACAGTAAGTCATCATTGTCCTGTTGCATGCCAGCCAGAGTAACAGAGCGTCTCTGCCCCAAATAAGGAAAAAGAAAAAAAAAAGAATGGTTTCTGTGTTCTTAAATGAAAAAAATTGACAGAAGCATAATATTTTGTGATATGTGAAAATTACAGGAAATTTAGATTTTAGTGTCCACAAATAAAGCTTTATTGGAACACAGCCACACTTATTTGCTTACTACTATCTGTGACTGTATTTGTACTATAGTGAGAGAGGTGAAATTCTGTAACAGAGACCATATGACCCACAAAGCCTAAAATATTTACTGTCTGGCCCTTTACAGAAAGACTTTGATGACCTCAGATCTAGATTATTTCTGTTTTTTTCTGTTATAAAAGTACTACAGTGAGCATTTTAATGTCTTTGCTTATATCTATGATTATTTCCTTAAATTAATTTATAATATAGAATCCTGGGTCCAAAGGGTATGCAGAATTCTTAGGGTTTTGATACATATTGCCAAATAGTTCTTTGGAAAATTGTACTAGTTAGTTGTCACTACCAACAGTGGATATAAATAAGTGTTTCTCTGTAGTTTTTTTCTCAACTCTGGGTGGAAACCTTTGAAAAGTTATTTTCTAATTTTATATGAAAAATATTGCATGAACATTATTTTGATTTATAGTTCTTCTATAAATTGCCAGTTTTTGGTGTCACTTGTCCATATTTCTGTGAAGGTTTAAAAAAAAATGATTAATGAGAACTTTTAAATTTACTTTACTTGGACTTAAAAGAGCCTGCTTCTCACAGCCATAATTTTTGGATAAAGATTATTTAACATGTTTTGCAACTTAAAATACCCTGGAACTGATAAAGTGAGCTGATGCCCTTTTTGTTATTAGAAAAATGGCTACATTCTGTTACATATTCTATTTTTTCCTCTTGATATAAAAGAGAAGTAACTTTAATTTATATTTGGTGGATTAACTTAGGACCTTATAAACATTTGGACTGAGATTTTCTCAGGATTCCCACTGGCTTTGGCTAGCTACTGTGTGTATCTAGTTAATTATCAGGAAACACCATGGGAAAGAGAAGAATCTGTGAGAATTGGTTGCATTCTTTTGTTACACAATGCCAGGAACCTGCCTTTTTTGAACCAAAGAACTGTCTCATTCTTGTAGTGACACAACATGGCCTTACATGCTTTGCTTTCCTTCTGAAGATTGAAAACTTTGGGAAAATTTAATCCCCTTTGTTAGGTCAGTTTTGTCTGATGTGAGATGGAAGTAGAGGGGGTATACAATGGGGTATGCAATGTGGGAGGTCGTCCAGAAAGTTGAAAGTGGTGTATGTATCCCCATGCCGGAGCTTTTTCCATCTAGTGATCTGTAATGAACTTTTTTCCTGTCTTTTCTAGGACTATTCCTTTTCCAGTGTTCGAGTGGAGACGCCCCTCTTGCTAGTGGTGAATGGGAAGCCTCAGGGCTCTGGCAGTCAGGCTGCTGCCACAGTAGCATCGCGACCACAGTGTGAATGACCTTCTTTGACTTTCATGCTCAACAGGGAGTGGAGGAGAAGAGACAAGGCCCTGGCCAGCTGGTCCAGCCACATTCAGTGATTCAGCAGGGGTGGGAGGAATGTTTTAAATGAAGACTTTCCTTTTCTCTTCCTGTATTACATTTTGTATTTCTTCTCTATCTGTCCTCATGATGTTCCAGCTGTCTCTAGGGCCACATACTCTTCTGGCATATCTCTCCTGCCTCTTCCACTGCTCTCTTTGTATTAAGAAAAGAACATGGAATTGCTAGAAGTCTTGGGAGCTTGCCATGGGACAGAGTCCCCAAGGCTCCTGTTCTTGCCTCCTTCTTAAGCCTCATATGTATATATCAGTTCAGTATTTATTGCTAAAGGAGGGGGCTTAATTTTATAATGGCTTTTTTTTTTTTGAGCAATTTTTATTGTTATTTGTAAAATTTAGGTCCTTCCCCTTCTTTGGGGCTAGAACAGAATTAAATTTGTTTGGAAAAAAAAGTACCATGTAGTTTGGTCTACTTTATTCTCCCTAAGCTTGTAGTCTTGGTTTTAGGACCACTTCAGTTTATTGGAGTAATACCACCCCCTTTTTTTTCTTTATACAAAATAGTTTATTTCTCTCCCAGTGAAAAGAATTCTGACAATAGACAGCTCAGGGCAGGATTGGAAACTCCACAAAGTTTCTAGAGACCAGCTTCCTTCCATTTTCCCATTCTGTCATTCCTTAGAGGTGGTCTTCACCATGGTCCAAGATGGCAGAGCAGTACTATTCTAATAGTGTTAATAGGCTGAAGGACTAGAGACAGTTAGATATTCAGTTTCTTTACAGTGTGGTGACATGCTTTATAACAGTTTATCTTAATATCCTTGTGGTAAAATGGAGAAATGTGAGTATTAGTAACCAACTGAATGGCTATAGTACATTAATGGATACAGATGAAATTAGAAGACTTCTAGTGAAATGACTCAGATCTTTGTTCTTGGTCCAGTCCTGTTTAATTCTTGATCAGTAACTTGAATATCATTGATGACTCATTGAATGTATAAAGAATGCAGAGGACTCCTCAGAGAATGGATGATAGAAGTCCATTGATAAGAGAAGTTTATCTGTCAAGTCATAAAAGCTGAGTCTCTTAAGATAAAATTTTCAGTCCATTCTTTTGGTCCAAAAAGGCTTTCTTAGGCATAGCTTCAACATCATATATGAAAATTATTAGAAATTTTAGTAGATAAGCTGAAGTCAGTATGAGTAACCAATCTGATAGAGTTTGCAAAAACACTCCTTGTAGACTGCACCAAGAAACCTGTGGTAGACAGTTTTTATTATAAGTACTGTCTGTTTTTTCCCACATATGGAGTCTTAATTTAGTTTTCAGTGTCGATTTTGAGGCCTAGAGTCATAGAAGAGTGATTAGGAGCTTGTGTGCTATAAAAATATCTTGAGAAATGGCTGAAAGCAACTAGGGAAGGTGGGAGTAGTAAGTGGTGTGTGAAAGCATTTGAGGCAGTAGAGATGTGGGACCTAAATACTGTTCACCTTTTACTCAAGTTCTGAGATGAGTTGACGTTCTGTGTAGGACTAGAGAGTAGAAAAATGACCAGTAGGTGGTAACCAGAGAGAAGCAGGGCATGCAAACAAGTAAGTATGCAAAATGTACATGGTTTCAGGAATAACTGGAATACCCATGAAATAAGCACCTGCCTTAGAAATGAGTACACCAATATACCTTGGAAGCCCTTGTGTACCTCCCCATGATCTCATTTGTCTTCACAGCTATATAATATTATATGATTATACCACAATGTATTCATCCTATTAAAGGATATTTGGGTTTCCAGTTTTTCTTTTTTTGCTAGCAAAGCACTAAATTATTAATATTCTTGTATATGTCCTGATATGTAACTGCAAAATTTCTTTTGTAGCAATGGTTCTTGAAGAATGGTTCCCAGACCAACAGCATCAGCATCCTTTGGAACTTCTTTGAAATGCAAATTATCAAGCCCCCTACCCAGATTTACTGAATTCAAAACTGTGGGGGAAGAGTCCAGCAATCTGTGTTTAGTAAACCCTCCAGGTGACTCTGATGCACACTAAAATTTGAGAACCACTGTTTAAGAGTATTGACATAAAATGGAATTGCTGGGTCATAGAGTTCAACTTTTTTGAGAAGCACTAAACGTTTTTAAAGTTTATATCAGTTAATGTCTATACTATCAATGGATGAGTCTCCCCAGTGCTCTCTGTCCTCTTCTGTGCTTGGTATTATCTTTCCTTTTAGATATTGCAAATACAGGAGATTCAAGTATTATTTCCTTGTGGCCTTAATTTCATTTTTTAAATTATTACTGAGCTTGAGCATCTTTTTGTATATTTAGAAGCCACTAATATTTTATCTTGGTAAAATGCCTATTCATTTCTTTGCACACTTCTATATTGGATGTCAAATTGATTTACATATTCCCTGTACTAATCTTTTGTCATATTATGTGCTCAGACACCTAACAAGTTTTAGCTTGTCTTTTTACTCTATTGGGTCTTTTGCTGAACAGAAGTTCTTAATTTCAATTTCATCAAATTTATCCATCTTTTATGGTAATGATTTTTATTTTTATTTTTTATTTTTTTGAGACAGAGTTTCACTGTTGTTACCCA